TCCTCACTTTACTCTTGATCGCTTAAGCGATTTCAGATCACTTAAGCTATCTCTTCGAGGCAAATAAAATCTGCCTAGATCTATGATCGCTTAAGCAAGCCACTAGTATCGCTTAAACGATTCCGGTTTTACCTTGGTCGCTTAGCGATTGAAGATCGCTAAAGCGATCTCTTCCGAGGCAGAATAAATCTGCCCAAGTCTATGATCGTCGCTTAAGCGTTCCCGTTTTACTCTTGCTTGCTTAAGCGATTGAAGATTGCTAAAGCGTCTCTTCTGAGGCAAAATAAATCTGCCCAGGTCTATGATCGCTTAAGCGATCCCTTGTATCTTAGCGATCCTCTTGTATCGCTTAAGCGATTTCTCGCTTTACTCTTGGTCACTTAGCGATTTCAGATCGCTTAAGCATCTCTTCCGAGCAGATAAAAATCTGCCCAGATGATGATCGCTTAAGCGATCCTCTGGTATCGCTTAAGCGATTATTCGCTTTTACTCTTGGTCGCTTAAGCGATTTGCGATCGCTTAAGCGATCATTTGAGAAAAAATCTTGGTCCTTAAGAGATATTGTGGTCGCTCATATATCGCTTAAGCGATCATGACAAAAAGAGAAGATCCTACATTTCTCCTATATATGTAATAATCTGTCATTTATAACTAATTTTCCTCCCAAATTCGAAAAGAATAGCAGCAAAATGAAGTCTTAATCAATCTAATCCATCACAGATCAAAATATAGAGAACATCATGTAATTGAAGTTTAAACTTAAAATCATTCATAATAGTGCCAAAATAAATAAATCCTAAGCCACTTTGACAAGTTTTGGAATTCGGTATAATCATTTTCTGAGATCATCTTTGGTACCATGCCTTGCCGCAGCCTTGATTGCAGATGCCGCCATTTTGAGAAGTTTTCAAATTCGGTATAATCACTGTCTGAGATTATTTCATGGTCCCATGGCTTGCCAGCAGCCTTGATTGCAGATGCCTCCTCCTAGCCAGCAGCCTTGATTACAGATGCCTTGCCGGCGCCTACTCTGACAGCCCAAGCCACTTTGAGAGTTCCCTCTCATTGTTTGCCACAACTTACAAAATTATCCGCACACCTGCAGCCACGTCACTTTTCTAAATAAAACACAAAAAACAAACGTTTTTCAGGCTAATTTGTTAATGAAAGTTGGGATGTCCGGGAGTAAAATTTTCTCTCTTCACGAACCCAAGTTATGGAGTGCAAGATTGAAAAGTTCACTGAGTCTGTCTATTTCGGTAAAGCTGTGTATAAGCATGACACCTGCAGCATCAGCACCACAACCCAAGTATCAATATCAACATCAACATCACTAAACTACAAAATTAAAATACAAGTTCCAAACATTTTCTTGGGTTGTGGTCACTCAAAACGGATCCATTTCCCATGGAAGCACTCAACAGCCCAACGCTCCCGAAAGATGGTCATTGTTTTGTCATTCAATCCGTCTATCGGGCTCTTGGTCATGTCGAACTGAATAAATTCAGGGCATATCCCCACAATCAGCACTGCAATAGAAGATGACATTGCATTAGAATCAGCTATAGAATAATTCTATTATGTAAGTTAGTTTTATACAAATTTACCTTACTCATTTTTGGACGGGAGCGCGCTTGAGTGGCCACTTTCCCGTCAATGCTTCATCACCGAGGTGCTCAAACATCACGCTCTCTCGTACAGCCAGGGGAACAACACGGACAGGGGCTCCAACTCGGCCTCCAACTGCTTGTCTAACAAATTGTTGGGTTGCAGTCAAGGATCTTCACAACCTCTCCTCTAAGAGCACTATGACTGCTATCCAGTGCATTCCTTGACCAAGATGATGCAGTAGACACTTTTACCTTTGCCAAACTGTGGCTATATTTGGGTCTGTCCCCATTACATCTGCATCATCCTGTCATCAAACTTAAAATCATTAGGGACGCAGTCCAGTCTTCTGTGCCTGATTGTTTTCGCTTGGCTCCTTTTGCTATAATGTACCAATGGCCTTTTTCTATAAATTACATAGTCGATACCAGTGTTTGGCCAAAGGCCACATCATTGATGGCCCAATCGGGATATAGTAATCACCATTGCTGGTTTGTCGCAGCCTCATCATTGCCAATACTTCATCGATGTGCTGCATCAAATAAAACAACATGATAAGTATACAATACCTCATGGAAAACATAAGCAAAAATAAGGAAAATTAGCGAAAATACTCACCGAGTCGTGAAGCCAGCTGCTCATCGTCAAAATCTTTTCAAACCATCCCGAGAATAATTCCCGGTCTTACACTTTACAAGGACATCACTTCCAGATTCATTGAATAGCATAGAAGGTTTTTTTCTTTCCTCTCTATTGGCCTATACAAACGATAGTGGACTCCATTTTTGCTTGCCCGCTTCCTCCATTTGTACATCCCCGCTTCCTTCGCCTCCTACTCAAACTCCTCCATATAACTGCCCCACTTCCTCCAGAATCCTCTTTAACCCCCTCAATTTTGGCTTCTTCCTCAATTTGTTTCTTTGTTTTCCTCTTAATTCCACGTGTTACTACGGTGTAAGCGATTTCACAAACCTGCTCTTTCGACCTTCTCTTTTCAGCCCAGGTTGCACTTTAACCGTCTTCAATACTCCACCACTTCCTCCTACACCCTACCAACTTCCTCCTCCACCCAACAACTTTCTCTGCCACCTTATCACTTTCCCTCCGCCACCCCTTTTCAATTGCTCTTCCATCTTATCAAACAAACTCTTTATGAGGTCAACCATCTCACTCTCCCGACCCCGACGCCTCGGCAAAGCGGTACTTGTTGTACCGGTTTGCTGAGGCATACGAACCTCTTCCTCCCTCCCCTCCTCCTCCCTCCCATCGATTGCGCCTTCATCCTCCTCGGCGTCAACCACATTCTCAAGCAGTGGCCCTGCAACTGCCCTCACATGTGTGACCCCTTGTAGGTCTCGCGTCAGGCGGTCTATCTCTTCATCCCTTTGATCCTCCAATGCTCGGAAAGATGTAACATAGTGCTGTTGCGCTTCACCCCCGGTAGCGATGAGGAAGGGACGGACAACCCCCTGCAATAAGAAACAAAATCAATCAGATTTAATCGACATTTTAATGCAAGTGCATGTTCAAGCTTAATCCTTTAATCTTACCCGAGCTGATTGAATTTCAATCTCTATTTGCTCATAATCTGAATGGGTACACTTTTTTTCTTGCCATCTCAATATCCTAGGAAATGTCTGTTGCACAACCGAAGCCCTAATCCTCCCCCTTGCCTTAGCCAGAACAGGGATGGCCTCATACATCCAAGCCTACATTGTAAAAAAACAGTCCATATCATAATTCAAACTCATATATTAAAAAAAATATAACAAAAAGCTATTAATATTTACCTGCATTGCCCATGGGAAGCCAAACAAATTGTACATCGCCGGTCTTTTCTTCTCGGCCCATTGGGAGTGCTTTAACACCAGGTCTTTTGCTTACAAGGACTCCATGGTTCGCTTAAATGATACCCGTCCCCACGGATAAGCATTAAAGAAGTTTAAGTTGCTTACAAACTTCACCCAATCAATATCAATGGCTTTTGTTGAGTCACTAGCCATTAGGATCGAATGTAAGAACAATACCAAGCACAGTTTGAACGTCTCTGAATCGTTAAACTCACCATCTTTTAACCTGTCCTCTAATTCCTGTGCCTTAANAAAAAAAAAAAAAAAAAAAACAAAGGTTGGGCAAAATGTCAAGTTTATCAATTTTCAAGTAGGTGAATGCCCAATTTTGCATTTCTCCGGTCCAAAGAGCTAGAGAATGTTGGTAAGGTAACGGTTGTGAATTCGATAAGTATATCAAATATGAAGATTAATAATATGTGAAATAAATCACCAATTATACAAAAGACAAAATACCAACAGTTGTGAATTCGCGGAAGTGTATCAAACATCAAGATTAATAATATGTGAAATAAATCACTAATCACACAAAGGACACAATATTTAAGATGGTTCGACATAAAGTCTATAACACGGATGAAAAAAGAACATACAGTTAAACCTCTTTATAGTCATAATGATAAGATCAAACTAATTTATTACTATAAGAAGGTTATAACTTAATAGAGGTGTAGTTATAAAAATTACTATTTTAATTTCTTATTTTATAATGGTATATTATAACATTTCAATTCATTTTTTTTAGCGCTCCACCATTAATGCATAAATATGTATACCCAGCGCCAAGTAGCATTGTCAAAACGCTCTCACGAAGATCATCGATTAAGAATCTCTCCAACTACGGTGGCTGCGCTGTAAGCCTGTAACAGTAAAAAAATCTCAGGGGGTTTACAGTTATTATCACATTGTTTTGAATTTAACATTATAACGTTTAAATAACAGTGGGTTTATGATATTGGGTAAACTCACTTTTCAGTGAGTTATCACTACCTCAGGGGGTTTACAGCTATTATCACATTGTTTTGAATTTAATAATTATCAAGCCATCAATTAGGTTAAAAATCTGGTTAGCCAAAAACTCTTACCCTTTCTTATATAGTTAAAAGTTTTTATGTACATTTTTATAATATTATGTGAAAATAATAAACAAATTTAGATCCGAAAAAAGTGGGGCAACTTTGAAACTAAAAAAATGTAATTTTAAAGTAGTCGTCTTGAAATAGTTTTATTAAGCCTATTTAGAAATAATTTGATTTAATTAACAGTAATATTATACTCACAAACTTTTTTTATTAATTTTTTCTTATAAACACGACGTGTCAGTTTATAATTAGTCAACTCACAATAGATCATATCTCTCCCATAATGGGTCATATTTGATCAAATATGAATTGACCAATTACGAACTACCATATCAACGTTTGTGAGAAATATTTATTAACTATCTATATTCTTTAATCTAGGATGTAGTTTTATTATCAGTTAAATAAAATAAGATATGATGAGTCAAGACAAATTAGACAATATGGCCAAGTTCTAATAGTTGACCGTCGGTAATCCATTCTAATTTCTGATTTTGGTTAACGTCTATCAAATGTTACTATGACGGGTAGGCAAGACTCTACTGCCGGCTTAATATTCATGTTACCGGCTACGGCTAGCTCTTTCTTTTTCGATTTAGTCGAGGCAGTTTAATTCTGAATCACTATAAACTCCTCTGCTTTCTTCATTTCAATCCATGGAAGCTTCTGTTAGGCTCTTCAATGTCTCCACTCTCAACCGTCGTCTCTTCTTCACCACTACTGCAATCAAATTCCCTCCAAAGCTTTCTGTAAACGACGTCGTTCCTCGACGCACCTTGTGCCACTCTCGTATTTGTTCTTCATCTTACCCCCTCAATCCTAACCCCTTTAACCTCTTCCTCTCACTTTCTTCGTCTCAACACTTTAATTACTCTCAACTTCCACCCAATAATAAATTTAACCCCTTCTCCCACCCAAAAGACATCGGTTTCAGATGGCATCTAGCTCCGAGGAGCGTGACTGACGGCGAAAATGTAGCTCTCTTTGGGGACAAACAAAGGGTTGTTACGGTGGTCTTGTTAGGTTGGCTTGGAGCCAAACCCAATCACTTAAGGAGATATGTAGAGTGGTACAATTCGATAGGATTTAACGCAATTACATTCGTCATTGACCCCGCTGAGGTGTTATGGTTCGATTTAGGACATCGGGTTGAAAACCGTGTCTCCCAGTTGGCAAACGAGGTCGTTTCATGGGTCTCAGATAAGGAAGAAGATGGTAGAGATAGGTGTTTGGTTTTTCACACTTTTAGCAACACTGGTTGGTTTGTGTACGTTGACTAATCATTCTTGTGGTTTTAAATCCTTGTGCTTGTCACCTATGTTTCTTTTTTTGGTCATTAATTTTTTCAATCTTTTTGCAGCTATGGTTCCATTATTGATGGTTTGCAGGATAGGCAGGAGGTGATGGACAAGATCAAAGGAGTTATTGTTGATTCTGGTGCAGCTGAACCATTTAATCCTAAGGTTCTGTTTAATTCATTTATAGATTCTATGCTTTTGCAGTGAAATTTACTTGCTAGTAAAAATGTTAATCTTTTATTATTATTATTCAGTTATGTTTTACGTTGTTGCATTCCTTATTTTACAATGTTTAGTTGTCAGCATTATTTGACAGTTATGTTGATTGAATTTGTCTATTAGGCTAGGGCTCCAAAGTCACATTTATCAAATTGCTAAGCTGGATTCTTAATTTTCATGCACTTGCTTTTTTGTCATATGATTCATGCATTGAATTCGGAATCAACTTGCAGTAGGAGTACTTGGGTAATTTATCAAGTATTAAAGAATTGAGAAGTAATGTGGATAGTACTCATCAAATTGTTCTTGTATACAGCTGCTAGATAGATTTTTTTGTTTACTTGTGCCAAAAATTTGACATCGCTTATCGATAATAGATGTGACTGTATTACCACTATCAGCAAAAACTAATTTTTACCACTTGGGCTGTAATTAGGTGGTGACCTCTGTTGTGGTCTGCCCTTTCCTCTGTGACTATAATTCCCTGCCGTCTATGCAATCTCCTTGAGCTTCTCTTTTGGCAGCTCCACAGAACTTGGAATATAGGGCTGCTTTAAATGAATAACCTCTTGCAGTCTAAGTGGACCATGACTTAGCTGATTTAGAATAATCAGGATGAGCCCTACATCTAAAAATTTTGGGGATTGGTCTCACCAGGTAGCCATTCTTTGTGGCTTTATTAAGTTTTCCATTTGTACATTTATTCTAAACTTTTCTAATTCTCTGAGAAAATTAATTTGGCTTTTTATGTAACTTATATCATTGATATACATATGGTTTTTCTAACAAGGAAAGACAAGGCTAGGGGGAACAAATAGAAACAAAAGAACGATCATTTACATATTACCTCTGGTAAGGAACATTGACTTGAGTGTGGGTGAAAAATTTATTTATAATTTTATATAAACTAGAGGCAGGTATACAAAAAGTGGTGTGAGGCGCAAGCAAACAACTGTAGAATGACGGTTAAAAGTTCCCAACACACTAATGGAATGTATTGTTGATAGCTAAAATTGTTTTATTGTCTTGAGTAATTTTATGGTTCTGTAACTAGAGAAATGTGGCTGCCGTATAAGAATCCCAATTTGGTAAGATTATAGATTAGTAGAATCTTAATTTCGGAGTGGGAGAATTACATTATGTGGGAAAGTCCTTAGATGAAGATTTTCTTCTACTTTTCTTTTTGTTGCAAATACTACAAAGCCTAAAGTAAGCTACACATACAGTGTAATGTTTAAGCTCTTGCTTTAACATGTATGCTCTGATGTTCACATATTTGATTGGAATTCCTTTGCTCACTGGTATCTTTTGAAGCCAGACTTGTGCGCACAGGGAGTAGAATTTGTCCTTGTTTATTTCTTCTGGTTATAGATCCTGTGATTTCAAATTTCATAGATTAGTTTGCAATTTAGCTAGATGTTGCATTTCATTCTTTGATAACTTCTTTTCAATTATGACAGGTCTGGGCGGCCGGATTTGCTGCCGCTTTTCTGAAGAAACGTAGCTCTTCAGCAAACCCTATAGTAGAGGTCGGAAAAGTCAATGGATTAGAAAGTGAAGTAAGTGCATCCAAAGTGCAAGAAAAGGGGCCAGAAATGATAGAAATTATGCTGTTATCATTATTGGAGAAGCTCTTCTCTTTTCTTTTGAATTTGCCTGATGTGAATCGGTAAGTTTTTATATGTGGCCCTTTACTTCTATGTTCAATATGAATGACGAAATTCTGATGATAATTAATTGTCTTTCCACATGTCAGAAAATTTGTATGTCATCAATAATTCATTTTTTATTGCAATTATTTCTTTCTTGTTCTGCAGGAGATTAACAAAGGTTGTTTCTGCTCTCAAAAAGAATCAGCCATCTTGTCCTCACCTTTACCTTTATAGCACGGGTGATAAGGTGGTACCATTTAAGTCAGTAGAATTGCATATTGAAGAGCAGAGGAAGATGGGAAGAAAGGTGTTTTCCTTAAACTTTGGGTTGTCTTCGCATGTAGATCACTTTCGGACTTTCCCCAGCAGATATTTATCAGAGCTCCGTAATTTCTTGAAAGAGTGTTTTACAACTGTAAAGCAGAAGTGAATCCTGCAAATGCAGATTACTGGGTATAGATTTTTAATTATAATTTCTTCCACTGCTACTGGGTGGCAGTGAGACATGTTGTAGTAAGATCACTAGGAAATATATGTGAAGTAAATCAATCATCTTCCAATAATGTTGTGGGAACCAACACTAATTTTCTTTTGAAAATGGAAAAAGTAAAATAAAAATAAAAATTCTTGCTTATATTCTGAACCTACTTCAGTCAATTTAGTCTCCACTGTGGAAATGGTGCAGAAGGTTGTTGTTAAAGGAATAGTTAAGCGGGTGGGAATTTGAACTGTTGAACTGTCCGATGGGCTTTATGGTTTGTATTGGATGTAGAATGTAGGACCAGTTCTTAGTGGTTGGAATAATGCCCTGCGGATTGGATACAAAGAATTTAAGGATCTTGTAAGTTGTTATTCTGATTATTAAATTAACATCTAAACAACGTAATCGAAACTTGTGATTTAATTTCTTTTGGGTTGTGAATGAGTAATGACTTGATCATGGGATTCTATTGTTGAAGTCAGTAGTCTTGAGAGAGATTTTAATGTTGGGATAATGATGTGTTTGTCAAAATGCTTGAATGGTAAAATGTGATGTTGGTGATCATCATCTTATGTTAATTCGACTGTTTTTTTAAACATAAAACCAAATTCACTTTCTCAAACTAAATCGCCAGTCGCCACCCGCTACTGCTGAATACGCATGGTTGCCATCACTATCCCTTGCTTCACAGCCAGTTTCTGCACCTCCACCTTCCATTCACCTTTGATTCACGCGTCTCCACCTCCGATTCGCAGGCCACCACCACCAACTTCGCAAGCCATGGCCGTAGTAGGTACTTGACATATATTTTCTATATTATATACATTGGCTTCTCTTTCCTATGATCCCTTTTTTATATTATATAAATGTTTATATTCCTATAATCTCTTTTCTTGACAAGATAAAATTGTGGTTCAGTGTATGTTTGCAATAAGGAAAAAGTTCATAGCTCGAAAAGACTGGCTTGTTTGTGATTCTGATGACAAATTTATTCCTGTCTACAATTACAACACCATGGAAAAGGTTAAAGAATTCGAGCCACATGGAGATTCTTTAGGTGTGTGGTTGTTCATCCTCCATTCCCATTTGTGTTATCGTCCTCCAATGACAAGCTTATAAAGCTTTGGGACAGGGAGAAGAGTTGGGAGTGTACCCAGATCTTTGAAGGGCATTCGCATTATGTAATGCAGTGGCATTTAATCCAAAAGATCTCAATACTTTTACAAGTGCATCACTTGATTGCACCACAAACACAAAGGTATACTTTTATATTGCAAACTTTGGTTATACATTTTCTTTCTTCTATTAAGTCTCCTATTTATGCTCCAGTATTGTTCCTCTATTTAGATTTGGAATCTAGACTAATCAGCTACGAAGTTTTCATGTGACGCACCTTCGAAACGGATAAATTGCGTAGATTACATCATAAGTAGTGATAATTTCTCATAACTGGTTCTTATGACTATAGTACTAATGTTTGCAACACTGAAAACTTGTTCATCAGGCAAGACTAGTTTATGTTCGTGTTGGGAATGAGTCTAGTAATATAACATACTAAGGCTACACAATGTTACTGCGGTGTGCATCCATCCTGACTTTCCCATCTTAATTACAGTCTTCAAGGATAAGACTGTCTGCGTATGGGATGCTACTAATTACAGGTATCGTGTGTTCTGAACTTGTGATTGATAATTTCTAAATTTCAAATTACATGACTGAGCAGTCAGCCTAGTTCATGCTTGCTCTATCTTTTCAAAAATTTGACGAATGTCCTCTCGATTTCTCTCTAACTTGTTAGTTACAAATATTGCACTGTCAATATCTTTTATCAGTGTTTTTGCAATTTGTCATTAATTTGCAGGCTTGAGAATACACTAAACTTTGGTCTTGAATGAGTTTGGGGTGTTGGATACAAGAAAGGCTCAAACCAGTTAGTTTCTTGCTTATTTTTCTCAGGAAAATGTTTAGTGGTGTATGACATGTTTCGCTTACCGATAAGCGTACTATACATCATCTGCATCTTTGAACGAGTTGTCATGATGAATCTATCATTTGATTTACCTTATAAAACAGTAAATGACCTGCTTCTGTTACTTCTCTTAACAGGATTGCATTTGGTAGTGACAAAGGAAACATAATGGTCAAGATTTTTAGCACTTGAGGTTGCAATTCTGAGAATTCTTTGCTTGTGAAGGGGAAAAAAGAAGGGTCAGTATTATGGTGTTATGAAGAAATAACTTTGCCTGTCTCTGAGTCTTTGATATGAAGAGAAGATCAGAAGGAATAATGTATCTTTTCTTTGGTAGCTGCTGATGCAAGGAGGAATGACGTCTAATGGCCAGTATTGTACTACAATATTATGTCTCTGTTTAATCTGGCTTTGGTTCTTCAAGGCTCAAATAAATTTCCTTGACGAAGAGTAAGTTCTATATTTAGAGTCTTTTTAAGATTACAAACAACAGAAGAACAATCATAAAGAAAATGTGACAGAGGAGCAGGGCAACCATGGCTGGAAATGATACTGAGAATGTTATCTTTTTAGTGGTTATGGTGATGATGATGCTCTCAGAAACTCCGGTCCTGGACGAGTCAAAATCTGCTCAATCCTTCGCTTCTGTTTTAATGGTCGCTCAATCCTTCTCTCCCGACTCTAAATATGAAGAAAAGAGAACTAGGCATCTTATTATTTCATAAATTTAAATAAAGGTAAATATTTTAAAATTAGTATTTTGATACATATATCTTTATTAATTATTATACATCTATATTTACCATTTAAAAATAATTGTAAGGTATTAATTATCAAGTTGTGAAAATTAAAATAATTATTAAATAAATACATCATTATGTTGTTTCAATAAATTATTAAAATCTGACTATAATAAAAATCATTCAAATAGTTTATTATAATTTAATCTAACAATTGTTAAGAATATAAGTACTGTATATATCAAAATTTGTTTTTCTCTGTGATAAAGTGGAAGAAGATCAATAAATATAATTAGAAACTTCGTATTAGATTTGAAATTAGAATAAATTTTAGAAGGCAATTAGGGAGAAAAAAAAATTAATTTTAAGATTTTCACCAAGGACTCTAACCGACATGTCGGTTTCTATTTTACAACTGACCGACATGTGTTGTATCCTTATAGCCGACATGTCGTTTCTATTTTCTAAAAAATGTCGGTTGTTCTTTTCTTAAAAACCGACAGGTCGGTAAACATAATCAACCACATGTCGGTTGATCATTTCTTACCGACATGTCGGTTGATCATTTCTTACCGACATGTCGGTTGCTCTTTTATAACCGACATGTCGGTTTCTTATTTTAACCGACATGTCGGTTGTTTAACAAATTGACCGACATCGGTTTCTCTTGCTCGAACAGACATGTCGGTTGTTAAATTCATGGAACCCCCTTCATTTTGAAGAATCATATAACCCCCAGTCTTTTATGAAAAACCGACATGTCGGTAAAAATAATCAACCGACATGTCGGTTTCTTAACTAATTGACCGACACGTCGGTCAAAAGAATCAACCGACATGTCGGTTGTTTAACAAATTGACCGACATGTCTGTTTCTCTTGCTCGACCGACATGTCGGTTGTTAATATCATGGCCCCCCTTCAGTTTGAAGAATATCATATAACCCCCAGTTCTTTTCTGAAAACCGACATGTCGGTCAAAATAATCAACCGACATGTCGGTTGCTTAACTATTGACCGACATGTCGGTCAAAGAATCAACCACATGTCGGTTTTTTCATGAATTGACCGACATGTCGGTTTCTCTGTATACCGACATGTCGGTTTCTTATTTCAACCGACGTCGTTGTTTAACATTGACCACATGTCGTCGTTTCTCTATTCGAACCGACATGTCATTGTAAATATCATGGAACCTCCTTCAGTTTAAGAATATCAAACCCCCAGTTATGTCAATCTGTGGACGTCAGTGATATTTTTCCTAAATAATTTTTAAATTTGTTTCTTGAAGACATTCGGTTAGAGGAAGCATGTATTTATGATTTGTCAATGCAATCGCTCAATGTTTTATAAAGAAGTATATATGAGTGGTATGATCAGAGTCATTCTCATCCTTAAAATTTGTTCTTACTCTCATATTTATACAGTCTCTCTCTCTAATCTTTGAATCATAAGCTTTAGATGAGTGACTATTGTCTCGATTCTTTTTCATGTTTAGTAATATATGACGGTTTAGTGAGGTACTTTTTTTAGTGCTTCTCACTTCCCTGTTAAATTTTTTGAGTTGGTTCTGACAAGAATTGAAACGATGTTTTTTGTTGTAAATGTAGTTGGCAATCAAATGGGGGTTTGTTATAGAAATTTTAAGTTGATTTGGTGTGATTAAAGTTTTTGATAATTGGAACAGAGAAAAGTTTGGAGAGTTAGACAGTAAAATCTGTTGGAAGGATGTTGAGGGTGTTTTTGTTTTTTTTTTTTTTTTTTTTTTTTTAGATAACGGAATGTTAAAACGTCAGATGAATTTTTAGTTTTAAAATTTTTTAGTAAGAGGGACAAGAACAAAATCGGATTTTTTTATTCCACTTATGTTACCTACTACTGCCAGCCACGAAGGAATGAAAGCCTTAAAAAGCAAATAAAAAGGTCTAGATACGGTGCACCTAACGCACTTGACTTTCCTTGTTCTTTGATAAGCTATGGCGATACTGGAAAATCGGTGGTGAATTCTAAGATTTCTCCGCCAAACTCATACGGAGCCGTTGTTCTTGGTGGAACTTTGATCGATTACATGACGGGCATCGCTCTTTCTCAAGGTACTTCTCTCTCTTTTCATTTTATTATTATCAGCCTCATCATTAGTTCAAGAATTGTTTGATTTGAAATAAACTAGGCAGCGGCGGAGCTGGCGAGGGATCGTATTGTCGTTGGAGTTTGTGACGGTCCAATGTTGCGAACAAACAGGTTAGTTTTATTTCTAAATTGAGCTATTGTTTTTTTCTTTGCGTCGACTCAACTGTTTTGTATTAACTCACCTATTACAGTTCCAATAATTATATGTAATTCAGCGTCCAATTCCAATAAATTCAATTCTGATTAAGTTTTAAGGCCTTGGCTGTTTAGATGGCATCAGTCACGTATTGAATTCTACTTTTGTTTTGGTTTTTAATGTCAAAAATCCATGTATGGGAGATAAAAGTTACGAAGACCAGTGAGTTTGTTTTATTTGTGTAAATCTTATTGAATTAAATGATTTTCGTGAATTTAATAGTTATCTCCATTCTATGTCAGTTTGTTTTGTTGCAGTAGTCAATTAGAATGGCTATAAGAATTATTTTGGTTTTGTCTTCAAAAAATTTTGCAGGGCAAGCTAGTGTAACTGTGAACTCTAATGATTATTGCCATTCAATTTCTTTTCTTAATCTGTGAAGGAAACAGTTTGCTGATACAAGTCTAGTTGTATTTGTCTTCTGATATGCCAAATTTAAAGTTCTTTGTCCCCATGCCTGCAGTTCTCCGAATTAATACAACCCATTGAGGAACGGATGCGTAATGTTGAAAATTACATCAAGGTATCTGGTAGAAGGAAGTATGTTCTATGCTCATTCTTAATTTTAAAGAGAAAAAAATATTACTGGGTTCTTAGGTTTCCCGACTTTATTCGAGTACTTTAGTATGGCAAATGATTTATTTATGTGAGACTTGCCTTGTAGACTAGGTTGGGTAGTGATACATATAGAATTAAGCCCTGTGATTTTAAATTGAATATATATGAAATATTCTATTTGGTTTCCTTTGGCATGGTCAATGTGTATAAAATCCTTCCACTGTTATGTGTTCTAGAATTGATCATTTTGGTTTTTTCCTTTCTGCAAAAACTTCAGTCTATCAAACCAGAGCTTAAAGTGCAAGTTGAACCTATTACAGATCCGTACGGCCCTTCAATTATTGATGAAAATTTAGAGGCTATTGTTGTCAGGTGTGTTATTGTTTACTATCTCTCTTTATCATGTTAGTTTTAAGATGTGTAGCAGATCTTCTTTTTGTTATTGCTTGCTTTAATGTTGAAAATCTCTTTCAATTGGGTGAGTCTTCTTCTTTTTCTTCAGTATTTTAATTGTCTTATGCATATTTCAGTTTAATTTGGTAGGTCCTGTAATTGAAGAACTGGAATAAAAAGAAAGATTTAGATTTTACTGGTTACTCCAAATTTCTTGAACTATTTTATTCTCGTACCTCTGAAGAAAGTTGCAGTCCAAATATTCTTGAGTAATTGTGTTTGATTTTCTGGCAGCAAAGAGACACTACCTGGGGGCATGTCAGTTAATAAGAAGAGAGCTGACAGAGTCCTTTCACAGCTGAAGGTTTTAGTTTCGGTTTTTGTGGATAGGTTTATTTACAATTTCCTTGGAAGCATTTTCGAAGATCAAACCATAACATTGTGGATCATGTGCAGATTGAAGTGGTGGATCTAGTTTCTGACGGATTCAGTGGAGATAAGCTAAGTTCAACAGCCTTAAGGAAGCTTGAGGCAGAGAAGGCAAAGACAGAGCACCTTGAGGCTGAGAAGGCCAAAAAAGAACAGCCTGCAGAATAGATGTTGGACACAGAAGGATTGAAGGAATTCTGCATATAAGCTTAGTTCTTGAAGCTGAGAAGGACATGATGAAACAGCTGTTTAGTTCAGAAAGACTTGTCATTGTAACAATGTGGTATCATTATCATCAAGTATAATTGTTCATTTCTGTAACAATAATAGAAAATCTAGAATTTTTATTAAAGGCTTAGTGCTGGCTGACTACTGAAATAATTGATTAGATCTATACTTATTTTTATTGTATGTTCTTCTGAGTTAAAAGGACGATGATCATCGATTGACATTTTAAATAAGAATTTGGATCTCGGCCTAATATATTATGATATTATAAAGAGATCATCGTAATAGTGTGCAGTATAAGCTTTTTAAAACCAATTATCAATTAGAAGCAGGTCTGTACTCAATAAAATGATAATTCATTTTGTTAAACCAACATTCCCACGATGCCGTTTTCAGCATAAAGCGTAACTGCCCTATTTTGGCGGACTACTCCTCTCCGGAGCATAACGGCTATATTAGAATTAACGAAATTTTGAATTTCATAAAACATAAGCGAAACGGTTGCGACGCGATCCTTCACTGTCTTTATAAAAGCACCCCATTGGAGAGTATCTTCTCTTCTAACTAAATTCACTTTGATCGTTCGTACCTAAGGCCCTGCCCTATCACCGTCACCAAGATCTCTCATTTACACGCACACGCACACATACACAGAAACTCTTGTTATTCTTGAAGCCTTGTCACTTGACAAAGCAATTGCTGTCTCCTAACACAAGGTTTTCTTGAAGCCCTTTTGCTGTTTATCAGTTTTACAACTTCGAAGTTGCATAGAATCTTGGTTCAAGACTTTTAGATCATGGTTTCTTTGTAGTTTGATGTTTATCTTTTCTCTTTAGGGGAACGTTTCTTGGTGCGTTTTCTTGTGTTCTTTCACACTCTATAGACTGTGTCTCTAATGTTTATGTTGGTTATCTCTTTGAATCAGGTTTTGTGGAGTAGCAGTAAAATAGACAATCAGAATTTCAAGGGGATTGTATCAGCATACTTAGATTGTTTTAGGGTACCTTCACTTTGTTTACTTCTCTGTCACAATCTTGTGGATTCTTGTGATTCTTGCGTTTTCTTTCAAGTGATTGAATTTCCGTTTTTGATTCTTGAAATTTGTTTACAGGAGGAATTTGCAAAATTCTTGCAAAGATGAATGATTTAATGACAAAATCGTTCTTAAATTATGTGGAACTGAAGAAACAGGCTCAGATGGACTTTGAAGCAGAAGTTGACATTGAAAGAGGCCAACTCAACCCCGAAGATGAAGAAAACCTCTCTCAGTTTTCCCGAGAAGTCGATGCAATAAAGGATGTAATGGAAGAGATTACCAATCTCTTGTACGATCTTCAGAATCTTAATGAAGGAACTAAGTCTACTCACAGCGCCAAAGTTCTTCGTGGCGTAAGAGACAGAATGGAAGCAGATACTGTCTCTGTGCTTCGTAAAGCCAAGATTGTCAAATCAAGGCTGGAATCACTGGATAAATCCAATATAAGCAACCGCAGAATTTCACATGCCTTTAAAGAAGGGAGTTCTGTTGATCGCACAAGGATATCTGTCACCAATGGTTTGAGAGTCAAGCTTAGAGATTTGATGAATGATTTCCAGTCTTTGAGAGAGAAGATTTTGTCAGATTATAAGGAAGATCTTAAGAGAAGGTACTATAATGCAACTGGAGAGGAACCAAGTGAGGAAGTAATTGAAAAAGTTGTCTCTGGAGGCGGAAAAGTTGAAATATTTGTGGACAAAACAGATGGTACGGATTTGAGGAATCAAGATAGGCATGAGGCTGTTATGGATATACAAAAAAGTTTGACTAAGCTGCACCAGGTGTTTCTTGACATGGCCGTTCTTGTTGAGACACAAGGGGAGACTATTGATGACATTGAAGAGAATGTGGTGAATGCAGGTAATTTTCTCAGTGGTGGTACTAACAGTCTTTACTATGCCAATCAGATGAGGAAGAAGAAGAAGACATGGGTGTTCTGGGTTTGGGCTGTGGGGTTGATTATTATGTTGGTTTGCTTTATTTCATTGTTGGCTTCTTGAGAGGAACAAATGTTATAGGAATTGTAGAGGCAATTATTTTCTATAAGGGGTCTTTAGGGTGGTCTACGGATTTCTTATTGCTAATTGAGTGTTCCTATGGTTGTTAAATATGGTATCTGTATCTTGATTTGTACATTCTAGATCCTTTTGTTTAAAAACAAAAAAAGTTCTTCAGGATTGATCCTCATTTACTTCCAGTATGACTTAATACAGCTAGTCCTTCTTTCTATGAAATTGCCAGAGTGGCAATGGGAAAACGGGACCAGCAAAGTATCTTAACAAAGATTTTACTGAAAAAAAATGAGGACCAATGATATTCCTATCATATATCAGGAACCTTATCCAAATAGCCAAGAACAATTGAAAGAAAGAAAAAAAAAGAGCCAATGTGCAGTTCTACATCATTGTGGCTCTGAAGTTTATTAAGCTGCCACAAATAAATGGCATTGGTCTCACTAACTCCAACAATCAAGTTATCTTGGGAACCAAATGCTACCCAGACCTTGTCTCTGCTCAATAGATGTTCAAACATGGAGGAACTAAAGCAGATTCATGCCCAAATGTTCAAACTAGGTCTTGCTAACGAGACCGTTCCACTAAGCAACATTCTAACTTTCTGCACCTCTAGAAATTCTGGCGGTTTATCCTATGCTCAGATGGTGTTTGACAGAGTTAACACACCCGATACTTTCATGTGGAACACCATTATCAGAGGATTTGCCAACAGCAGCGAGCCTGAACAAGCCTTGCTTTTGTATCAACAGATGCTTACTCATTCAGTTCCACACAATTCTTACACCTTTCCGTTCCTGCTCAAAGCCTGTTCCAATCTATCAGCCTTGGAAGTAACCCAACAAATTCATGCTCAAATCATAAAATTGGGGTTTAGTTCCGAGGTTTTTGCTATAAATTCCTTGCTTCACGCCTACGCCATTTTTGGAAGCATTGAATCTGCACGTCTTCTGTTTGACCGAATCCCCCACCGTGACATTGTTTCCTGGAACTCAATGATTGATGGCTACATAAAATGTGGTGCCATTAAAACGGCTCATGAAATTTTTAATGATATGAAAGCAAAGAATGTTGTATCTTGGACAACGATGATTTCTGGGTATGTTGGGGCAAGCATGAACAAGGAAGCATTGAATCTATTTCATGAAATGCAGATAGCTGGTGTTAAACCTGACAATATAGCTCTTGTAAGCACCATTTCAGCGTGTGCACATCTGGGAGCATTAGATCAAGGCAGATGGATTCACAAGTATATTAAAAAAATAGGTATTCAAGTCGACCCAATCTTAAGCTGTGCTCTTATAGACATGTATGTGAAATGTGGTGACATGGAAGAAGCCCTAGAAGTGTTTAGGAGAATAGAGAAGAAAGGTGTGTCTGCATGGACAGCGATAATTTTTGGTTTCGCAATTCATGGACAAGGAAGAGAAGCTCTAAATTGGTTTTCAGAAATGCAGAAGGTAGGAATTAAGCCAAACCTGATCACCTTCACAGCTATCTTGACAGCGTGTAGTTATGCAGGACTAGTAGACGAGGGAAAATCATTGTTTGAGAGCATGGAAAGGAAACATAACCTGAAGCCAACGATAGAGCATTATGGGTGCGTGGTTGACCTACTAGGAAGAGCAGGGCTACTAATGGAAGCTAAAAAGTTGATAGATACAATGCCTGTTAGACCAAATTCTGTCATTTGGGGAGCCCTACTCAAGGCCTGCCGGATCCATGGAAATCTCAACTTGGGTAAACAGATAGGAAAAATCCTGATTGAAAATGACCCTGAACATGGTGGCCGATACATTCACCTTGCAACCATTTACGCCATGGCAAGGGAATGGGACCATGCAGTTGAAGTAAGAAGACAAATGATCGACAAGGGAATCACCAAACTTCCAGGCTGCAGTTCGATTAGTCTAAGTGGTATTTCCCATGAATTTTTTGCAGGGGATAGATCCCATCCACATATTGATGAGATTAACCGCATGTGGGACCAAATTGCTAAGAGATTGAAACAGGAAGGATATAAGCCATCAACAAGGGGTTTACTATTAGATCTTGAGGACGAGGAGAAAGAAACAGCAATCCAAAAGCATAGTGAGAAACTTGCAATTGCATTTGGTCTAATCAAAACTCAACCAGGGGAAACAATTCGAATCATTAAAAATCTACGGGTCTGTGAGGACTGCCACACAGTAACAAAGCTTATCTCCAAGCTCTACGCCAGGGAGATCATAATGCGAGATAGAACTCGGTTTCACCTTTTCAGTGATGGAAAATGTACATGTGGAGATTATTGGTAATAAGCAAGAGACATAAAATACAATTTTATGATCCACTGTGAATGCAAAATTTAATAGATTCATCATGCGGACAATGTGGATACATTTAACTTGAAATGACATTATTAATGGCTCTATATGCGCCCAATTTCTGATTCACATCGCTGCAAACTGAAGAAACAAAATTAAAGTCAAGAGGAACTCCTCCTATGAACTTTGCAAAACTGCACACAGCCATCTTTTAGCTGATGCTGAGATGCTGCTTAGCTGTCCAAGATCGTTCAGGTTCTAGCTGGACATTTCCAATCTGGAGTGACAACAGAAAATAAAATGAGCAATTTTTTTTTTTTTTTAAAAATGAACAGTAATAAAAGAGATTTCTAGAAACAGTCGTTTAGTATCATGAAAAGCCTCTAAAACTGTTCCATTAGCATTTGATCTCTTTGCTAAAATTTAAAGTTAAAGACAACATTTAGAATCATTTTTAACTGAACTCAAATCAGCCATTAAAGTGTGATAGCAAGAAGGGAAACCCAGCCACTAAATTCAGCCAGTCGCCAGAGGAAGAAAGTAGGCATCTAATACCTTAGCATTTTCAACACAAACAAAATCTTTGTAGCATGCTTCCATCTGCAGATGTGGGTTCCACAAAACAGCATCTGACCAACTGTAAGTGTACAAGGTTAGAGCACAGAAATGTAAAGCAGATGAATTTGGGAAGTCTTAACCACATCAAATCATAAAAAGAGGTTCCAACTCATGTACTTGGTATTGCCGATAGATATTGTGTCACCCAAGCCATTATCAAGGTGCACTTCGTTGGGGGCATCAAGGTAAATGCAATCTACAAATCCGGGAAAAGTGATGACATCCCTGAATGGATAATGGAACAGTTAAAAAGAATCCAAAAGAAAAATGTCCAAAGATATTCGCAAAGGCAGTGAAGGACCTATCATTAACACTTCTCCAACAGCTCAAAATCAAATTTTATTCATAGTTAATATGAAAAATGCTACAGACCTTTCTTCCTTTCCCTCCAATGGATTGGCAGGATCTGGATCTTTATTCAAGGTTTTGCAACCTTTCAAACCTTTCACAGATGCACCAGTTACAGAAGCCTGCAAAATAATGTTCAAAATTTAATTTTAACCAAATTTCATTTCAATTCTTTTTTTCCTCACAACCATATAACAAAGGAATGTGTTATAGTTCACAGATACACATGGAAACTGTGCATCATATTGAATACATTCTTTCTCTCTTTTACATCCCACATTTCCCATCATGATCAACTCAAATATTTTATTAATAGCAAGAATTGGATCTTGATGTAAGAACTACGGTACCCATGTGAATGTATGCTTTCAAGAATTTAGTAAATGAAAAAGGTCCAAGCACAATTTAACTTACACTGAAGTATGTATGCAAAGCAGTATTAAATGAAAATGGCTTATTGTCTGTATTTTTAATAGTCAACTCTGTGGAAATACTCTTGGTATTTAGAATAACCTGAAAACAAGTAAACAGACTATAAGATTTAAATAAAAAATTTATAACACCTCCTGCAAAGTAAGATTGAATAGAGCCAATTGATTACAAATACAATAAGAAAACACAGAGATACAAGGCACATACCCTTAATATACCGAAAAAGCAGAAAGTGGTTTGGTAGATATCAAGCAGACTATTGTATTAGTGTCACCAAGCAGTTGTGAGGAAAGTGATTAAACTCACCTTGTATAAAGCATGGAAACTGAAATCCCACATGGCACGACTGTAAGGGCCATCTTTTAACTCAAGAGTTATAATAGGATTTCCTTCCACATTTTCAGAATCAACAATGGACCAATCCATATTCCGTGCAAATCCATGCTGTCAATTACATAAAGATCTCAGGACTTCAAATCAATCATAAGAAGCTATATAATAAAATAAAACAAAAGCACATACTAGTGATTATCAAAGACTTTTTTCTCACACTTTCACAGCATTTTACCTACTGCAAGACTAGCTAATAGCAGTGCGTCTAAAGGTAGGACTCCTTACAGATGGCAATAACCCTCCATTAGCATATTACTTTAAACAGTATGTGTCTGAAAAACTATTTAATTTATTAATACATGACAGCATGGTAGAAGTCATCAAATACTAGGAACTAAATTCAGAGAGCAAGAATTGGCTAACATTAGTCCACACTAGAATAACACGAATTCCAACAAACTCGTTGAATATGTAATACCGGGATCAAAGAAGTCAGTAACTAATGGGGAATGTGGGATTAATGATAATGATACCTGTTGCATTGGGCCAGGTCCAAACTGCGGGAAGCAATGTGGAATTCCTCCACTATTCCAATAGAGATAAGAGTCAGTGTGCGGGTCAAATCAAATATCTATTTCTCAATTTCTAAGGAAAAAAATTATTCAATTCAGAACAGGACAGTAAATCTCACATGAAACCAAACATAACAAAATCAAAAATACATTTTTGCTATTACAACTGAAAGAAACATAACATCAATTTATAAAGAAAAAGAAAATTAATTTAGAAAAGAGATAACCTGATAGGCTTCTTCTTATTAAAAACAGCATCAGGCCTAACAAAAAGGAGGTCTTTGCCATTAGAGGCCTTCCAAGATGTAACGCAACCTCCAAATAAATATAACTCAGCTTCACTGCCACCAAACAAGATTTCAACAAATCACAACAACTTAAAAACAAAAATTAATAAATTAAAAACAAATGAAGCTCAGGATGATTCCTACTCACCTACCGCCAGCAGAAGTGAGCACAACCTTGGGCAAATTGCCTTCACCTTCCGTAATTTTAACTCCTAAAGCAGTAGTTTCCTTGCTTACAGTCGCGAATGCCATACCAGAGTTTCTGCAGCAAAAGAATCGAGGGTTTTTGGTGTAAATTTTAGAAATTAGACAAAGAGAGATTTCATTTGAACAAGTGCATGATCATGAAATGCGGGAAATTCAAAAGAGAGACTCACCGTTTGACTCGCCGTAGATTACGAGAGTTGAGAGCGGGAAGAGAAAAGGCCATTGAAACTGTCGCCATATTCTACTCCTTTAACTAAATTTCTCTGTCCTTTCAACTTCACAATTGGTTATTCTAATTTGTATATATTCGCATATTCTTTTAGGATTTTATTTAAATAAGATTTCTTATTTATTCTTTTTGGATAGGGCATCAATGGGCCTAATTACTATGAGCCCATGGATGCTATTTATTACAATTTTATTTATTTATTTTTTTAATAATTGGGGTATTTGGGTCAATTTGCACACAACTCAATTAATCATTCGGGATCCTGAAAAAACTATATAAGAGTTCCAATGGTCATCTTTATTAAGGATTGAGATGAATCGTATCTCAACTAATCTCCCAATACCATAAAACTACCGACCAAATAAGAGTTTCAATGATCACATCTATTAGAGGTTGAGATGAATCACACCTTAACTAATCCCACAGGACCCTAGAACTAGCAACCGAGTAAGAGCTCCAATGGTCACCCTTATAAGTAGCCGAGATAAATTGAACTCAGGACATCTTGAATAATACACCTAAAAGTCTTAATTGACCATTCAGCCACCCAATAATGGTTCTTGGTATTTATTTCTTTTATCATTAAATTGTATTTGTATAAATATTTTTTATATTAGTTTGAAAAAATAGAATATTAATAATAACTGTGAAAAGGGGCTCAATGCATAAGAGAGTAAGGTTAATTGTAGAATTATTTTGAATTATCATTAGATTTAAAATGTAAACAATTTATGATACATTTGATGGATGTGATTACAATTTTGAATCTCCTGTGGCAACATTTTTTTACATACGTAAAAGTAAGTGCCTTGTTTTGGCTTCATGAAACACTTGAAGAAAATCTAACAAGGTGGAAGATCCTTGGGTGGAGGCAGAATAGATTGGTCTGCTCCAGGTCCGTCTTCCACAACAAATGCCATTTTCAATCCCCAACCAGTGTGTAGCTCTAAATGACAATGCATGAACCACACACCTGCACAACCAAAACAACAAACATTATGCAAAAAATTTCAACAATCTTCAACTTTAACATGGTTGAAAATTGATATGGTGTAAAATCTTTTCCAATCGTATGCTTTAGGATATGTTTATAAGAATGTACCTGGATTATCGGCTCTGAACCGAATGGCAGTCCAACCACCGGTAGGAACACCAACTGTATTTCTCTCAACAGGGTCAACCAAGTTGTATTTTGCTGGGTCTTTGGCAGGATCAAAATTTCCAATACCCGTTCCAACAACGAAGAAGTTATAGCCATGGAGATGGAATGGATGTGACTCAACTGTTAGCAAATTAGTGTCTTGCAACACTAACTCAACAGTAGAATTGAAGGCAATCTTGCTAAGCCTTGTGCCATGGGATGCCCCAAGACTGGCTGTTAGTGGTGCCCCGGTGTAATTAAAAGGTTTGGGAGGCTTATCCGGGAAATCAGTCTTGAATACTCCTTTGAGGTTGAAGTAATGAGCTTGGAGAAGGGCAGTTTCTGGCATCACAAAAGAGATATTGTTTAATGAAGCGAGGAGTCTGGTTCCATTAATGCATGTAGAGCAAGAATCTCTTCCTAAACCAATGGTGTAAAATAGTTTTCTATCAACTTTCTGTGGTACGGTAGCAGGAAAGTTAGGTGAGTTTAGGCTTCTAAGCTTCTTGTTATAGCTCAAAGCGAATGCTGTATCATTAGGCGCAGGCAATTGAGTGAGCGTTGGAAGAACAGTGTTTGGAATGCCTTTGTATTGTAGTATTCCGGTGGCTGTTTTGTTGTCTACAGGGATTGGAACATCCATGAAAGACCTAGTAGCCATGAAGTATCTGCCTGGTATTTGGTTGGCTTGAACCAGAACGTTTGTGGTCTGGCCAGGTGCAATTAGAATAGATTGAGTGGTGAATGGCTTTGTATAAACTGCATCAACCTCTACTACTGTCATGTTGTGACCAGCTATGGCAAAGAAAAGCTCGTCGTTGAGGGCGGCGTTGATGATCCTCAACAGGTATGTCTTCCCTGATTCAACTTCCATTGCAAAAGTATCTAACAAAAACAAATTTAAAAGCAATTACATTAGCAACAGAACTAGCTAATTATTTTCTCTAGTGCCAAAACTACGTCAAGACTTGAAGTTTTCTCTAACTAGCCTATTTTGCTTACGTTTCTCAGAACACGGAAAGAGAGGTCCAGGCTTCCCGTTGATTGTGTGTGCATCTGACATATTTGGTGGCAATCCCATTCTTTTCCCTTGATCTTCGATCGCTTCCACATCAGTGTGCCACCATTCTCCTACAACACACAAATTGAGGCAAACTTGGTTTGCTTAATAGACCAAATATTTAAAATCTGGAAGCCAGGCAATTAAATAGAATAATTTTAGACCCACCAAGGAGAATAATCTCTTCTCTGTTTGGCTGTGGGAAAGGAAATGGTGTCCCTTGTTTTGGCATGATGACAATTGCACCATAGACAGTAGCCCTTAGCCACAAAATATGTGCATGCCACCACAATGTTCCTCTTTGACCAGTTACATTGAAATCATAAGTGTAGCTATTGCCAGTCATGATAGGACATTGTGTTATGTAAGCCGGTCCATCCGCCCAACCATTGCGATATTGCTTCAGTCCATGCCTATAGATAAGAATCACAATTCACAAAGTGGAAATATAAACGCAAAACTTTGTACGGTTTGCATCAACTATTTATATATATATATAGATAAAGATTTCAGAATCTATAAATATACCAGTGAATGGACATGTTATATTGTGCGTAGTTAGTAACGTTGACAAGAACTCTATCTCCCTCCCTTACGTAGATAGTAGGACCTGGGTACCTCCCATTTACAGTTACAATGGGTTTTGCATGGCATAGTCTACTAACATTCTTCACTTGAATCTGAGAAAAATGCGACGCCACAAATTACATATCATCAAGTAAGAATGTATAGCCAAAGAAGCATTTGCATGTGAAGGTACAATATTTGCATTAATTTAATAACTCACATCAAATTGGTACTGATTAATGGCGGCTTCAGCCGGAAAATGAATAAACCCAAGAAAGACAAAGAGAAATGAAGCCAATCCAGGGAAGAAAGTGCCTCTGTTAGCCATTTTCTCTAGCTTCTGATATTGCTGTGTTTGTGTCGAGATGGATGGTATGAAGCATTAATTTATATGGATATGTAGAGTTGATGAAGGCTATGAACTTGAAGAAGAAAAGAGAATTAGGTAGAAATGGTGAAAGCTTGTAAGCAAAACACAGACAGAGACTTGAAGCTAGCCATTGACTGACGTAGAGGCTGGGATTCCTAGGCCAAAACTAACCAAGTATTCAGAAACATCAGTTTAATTTTATTTTTCATCAATATATATATATGTTTTAAGATAATTTAACAATACTGAAAGCTACATGAGGCCAAAATACACTACTAAGCTTTACCGTTAAGCGAAAGTATCAGCTTTACTGCTACTTTTATTAGCACCAGGTTTATTTGCCAAGGTTACTTTAAATTAAGGGCCCAAGATACAGCCATGGACCGCATTGTGCTTTCATCCCAATCAAAATTTTTTGTTTGTTAATATGTCACTCTCTCAAGGAGCTTCTGCCCACAGAAAATCAGTTTTATATCCTTGTCCATGCTTCTGCTAAAAAAACTAGATAGCTAATAACTTCTAAGCTTGTGTAGCATATTTTTGTACGCTTTACATATCTTGGGAGGGACGGAGGGACGGAGGGTCAACTTAAGTTTTAAATATTTTTGAATGAAAAATAAATTATAAAAAAACTCCAATCCATGGAATAAGTTAAACTCTCATTTTGTTTTTGTTTTTCTTTTTTGAGTAATATATTCAAGAGTCCCTATCGAATCACTTGACCACTCAAAGGTTAGTTTGTAATCATTATTTTCAAGAATTATTAAAAACAACCGTTTTAGTTAAGCAATTATAAACTTTGGTATGGATTAAAAAGTGAGAAAGGAAAGGCTGTATAGGTGAATATTGACAGAAATATGTGTGTATGTGGTATTTAATTTTGAGTTAATCAGAAGAAAGTAACATAAAAAAGATGGACATAAAAGATAAAACGACAACATAAACAAACAAAACTAAATTAGTTAAGAAAGGACTTCACTTTTTAATCAATCACTAATCCAGTCCATGGATATTCCATGTTCATGCATGGGATATATATTGACCATGTTTCTTAGCGAAATGACAAGTTGGTACCCTTAGTTTCAATTATTTCAGATTCCTACCCTTAAAACAACTTTGTTTCCTTTCTTTTAATAAATAACCTAATATCTCTCACACCCAGCCACCATCACCATCACCACCTACCATCCAGCCACCGCCTTTAACCCCCAAAGTCACTTCATTACCACCATCGCCATTCACCATCCACCACCATCACAATCCCTCCTAACCCAAAGTCATCCCTGTTGCCACCAAACAACCACCACCAAGTCACTCAAAAATTGAGCCACAAACTCAACACCAAACACAACCAAAAATTAGCACACAACCACAAGCAAGAGGTGACCTAGGTAAGGGCGAGATGGGAGGGTAGTTCGAGTAATTACAGTGTCTACATCTGTGTCAGAATCCAATAATAACTAACAGTGTTATTTTAAGGGTGAAAATCTAGATAAATGAAACCAGGGTATCCACTTATATTTCGCTGAACCTCGAGTGGGAGGAGTCGTTTTCTCTTACAAATTTCTAATCCTAGCCGCGTTTTGAGATTATTGAAGAGTAGTTTTCAAGTCACGTTCACTTTGGGGAAGGAAGAAGAAGGAGTCATCCCCAACCCAACCAAATCCAAAAGAATATATATAAAAAAAAAAAAAAAAATGAAGGAGACAAGAAAATCTTAAAAAGAAGACATGGGTTCCACAATGAAGGAAGGATTTATGATTCCATAGCTTAACTTTCAACGTGCATAGCATCTAATTAAATCCATTACACTGTTATTTTCCTCCTCTAATCACAAAATATTTCTTGTCTCTTGTCACTTTATATTGTGAAAGCATATACCATTACTATATTCCCATATTTTCATCAGTAATTATAATGTTATATAATACTAATAAATAATTATGAAATGAAATGAAAACAAGGTGCATTTGCAAGAATCAAGATTGAAGAACCTTGTAGGAGAGAATGTTGCAAAGTGTGCAAGATAATTTAAAATTCAACAAATTGTTTCATACCCAGCTGTGGTTGCCTAATCCCACATCGGAATCCGCCACCACTCAATTTCTTTTCATCTCGACGTGGCTCCCTTCATCCTAACCTGTTCTTCACCTACTCTATCTCCCATTATTTCTAAACTAATATTATTTTAATACCAACCCGTTACTTAATTTATGTTTTTAAATTATTTTAAATCAAAATTTAAAAAAAAAAAAAAAATGAAACTTTACTTAAATGCCACATTTATTAGGATAAACACAATACATAATGATAATGGTTTTTTAAACAAACAAATCAAAGTTTTTTTAATCCATTAATATATATAATAAGTCTTTAAACATTGTAAATGACAATATTAATAAAGAAAACGTGAAAATAGTTTTAATACAGTGTCAGTGAAGTACAGCGGTCAAAATCATAAATTCAAGTGGTTAACTTTAAAATGGTAACATCATTATCATTGCTGCAAAAAGTCCACTAAATGTACAAAAAAAAAAAAAAAAAAAAAAAAAAAAAAAAAAAAAAGGGGGAGTCTACAGAAACAGAAATCAAGATAAATCTCTTATAAAATGTTGTCACGCGTGTAAAATAGTACGAGCAAAGCAGAGAGTGAATTTAATCCATAAAAAAATTATAATATATAGTATGTGATTACATTATACAACTTTTTTAACGGACCAATATTGTTAACAATAATACAATAATGGAATATGTTAAATAAAATAATTATTTTAAGGATAAAAAGAAAAAAAGAAGCCAAGTGGGTTTGGATCCGTTTTAAGGGAGAGGGAGAGAGTTGATAGGGGGAGGGTGTGTGGGTTAAGCCGGTGGTGCTGGTGGCGGTGGCGGTGGCGGTAGAGAAAGGAATGAGAAGGGCATGTTGGGAATAGGATAGCTAACAAGACATGTTCTTAGTTTCTTCCATTTCTACTTCTTGGCTTGCTTCGTCTTCCGTTTCATCGCAGGTGTTTCCAGGTTGGTTTCATTTCTTTCATACATTGTGTATTTTTTGTTGGATTTTTGCGCAACGTCTGATAAATGAATCATTTTTTCATTATATTGTGCTCAATGTTCCTCTTAATGTGTATGTTTTTTTCTTGGGAATTTGATGATATTTTCAAGGAATTATTTTGAGGTGTTCTTAAATGTTAAAGATTTTATTTTGGGTCTAGAATGAATTGAATTGTACTTTTTAGCTTGACTTTCTTATTAATACAATGGTAGATCATAGATTCTATTTGAAATCTTGAATATGTCTAAACAAATGCCACCGTACCATAAAAATAAATAAATAAATAAATAAATTCAATTTGGTTTCTGTTTTCACAGCTTTTTAACTAATCTTATGTTTGTATGCGGCTTGTGTATTAAAGGGACTTGATATGTTCGTGTAAAGATGTCCTTTAAAAGCATCATTCGCGAGCTTAAGGAGATGAAAGATGGGATTGGGAGTATATCAAGGAGAGGAGTGGAAGGCAAGAATTGCCGTAACCGCAAAAAAAGTCATATAGCTCCCGATCAAGCGCTGTTCCCATCTGATTCAAATCAACAGAGTCAGTGGGCAAATCTACCACCTGAGTTGCTTTTAGACATTGTTAGGAGGGTAGAGGAGAGTGAGACCTCGTGGCCAGCTCGTGCAGTGGTTGTTTTTTGTGCTTCAGTTTGTAGGTCGTGGAGGGAAGTTACCAAGGAAATTGTTAAAACCCCTGAGCAGTGTGGAAGGCTTACATTTCCAATCTCACTTAAGCAGGTACTTCTTATGTTTCTCCTATTATAACTGTGTCTTTACTTGACCATGTTGCCAGTTTATTTTACTAGGTTTTATTGCTTCTATTTGTGCTTATAAACAGCCTGGTCCTCGTGACTTTCCCATACAATGCTTTATTAGAAGGGATGGAGCAACTGCTCAATATCTTTTGTTCTCCGGTCTGATGCCTTGTAAGTCCTCTTATCCTCTTAATTTCTATTTGTGCGGAATGTAGATTTGAATGCCTGTATATATTATTTTGCTGCTTAAGAATATCTATGTCTTCTAATTCATAACCTCATATTTGTATTCTTTGAGTTTTTGTTGTCAAGTGTATGAGTGATTATCCACACCACTCCTGCTTTAGCCCTGTTCTTGAATTGAATTGATCTAAAGAACCATTGAAATAAAGTTTCTTTTCTGTGGTTCAACTCCTAGAAACTTAATATGGCATTACCTTCACATAAATTTACATCATTATCAAGGGTTACTTAGTGCTAGGATAAAGTTGATTCTTTATTTTTTTATTTTTTTTTTTTGAAATTTCTAAAAGTATGACTCATTTAGTAGCTTGACTGTATACATTTTTGAGATGGAAATTTCATTAGTGGTAAGAGGTGTTCATTGGTGAATGGTGTTGAATTGACAGCTGAGGATGGAAGCAATAAGTTGTTGTTAGCAGCCAGAAAGGTTAGAAGGGCAACATGCACAGACTTTGTGATATCTTTGGTTGCCAATGATTTTTCTCGGGCCAGCAGTACATATGTTGGTAAACTGAGGCAAGTGTCTGCTCAATACAATTGTTACTAAAGTTGCTAGCCTTTTCTTCATTTTGCATTCAACAACTTACTGCCACCTTTTCTACAGGTCTAACTTTTTGGGTACCAAGTTCTCCATATATGACAGCCAACCTCCATGTGGTATAGCAGTTCAGCCAACTAATCGTATGAGTCGCAGATTTCATTCTAAGCAGGTCTCTCCAAGAGTATCTGCATATAACTACAGAATAGGCACCATCTCCTATGAGCTCAATGTTCTGCGCACTAGAGGACCCAGGAGAATGAATTGCATCATGGATTCTATTCCTTTCTCTTCCATCGAGGAGGGGGGCACCGCCCCAACACCATCATCATTCCCACAGTCTCTTGAAGAGCACTTTTCTTCCTTCCCAGATTTGAAGGAAAAGGAACCAGTGATATGTAGCGAGGCCCCAGGTTTGTCAGTTTCACCAGGATTGACGATGGGCACTCCTGAGCCACTGGTTCTTAAAAATAAGGCTCCTAGATGGCATGAGCAGCTACAATGCTGGTGCCTAAATTTCAAAGGGCGTGTCACAGTGGCTTCTGTTAAGAATTTCCAGCTTGTGGCAGCTATTGACCCAACCCAGAATGTGCCAGCTGCGGAGCAGGAGAAGGTAATTCTGCAATTTGGAAAAATTGGAAAAGATATCTTCACCATGGATTACCACTACCCACTCTCTGCCTTCCAAGCCTTTGCAATCTGCCTTAGCAGCTTCGACACGAAACCAGCTTGTGAATGACATTATTGCAGTGCTAGAAATGGATGCCATTGTCCCCTTAATTGCATCCTTAAATTTTCAGTTGATTTCCTACGCAAAAGATGATCATGCATGGTCATTTACAACTCAATTTTAGCAGTATGGACGATAATTTTCTGGTCATGCAATTCGACTTGTATTTTGTTCTTATCATCTTGTCGCAGCTGAAATTCAATTAAAAGAAGTTAAATGAATTATATTTTTATGATTTTGCAGTTTGTCCGTGTTATTGATCTAACGAAATTGTATAAGCTTCTAAGATACCATGCTTGTTTTTATCTATAAGGTGACATTACTTTTGCCCTTAGCACAAACCTAGCATTCTTAAGAGGATGGATTAATATGATGTGAATATTAGTTGGAACTTAAATTCTTGGATGGACCTTGATTTGCCTTTAACATCTGAAGTGTTATTGTCCTTCTCCAATTGTCCGATCTTAAATTTACCACCAAGTTATCTCTTCGTATTGTTAACCTCTTTGCTACTGCAGAAATCTTGAAAATATTTTTCGTTACCAATAATTCTGTTCAAAGCTTGAGCCCAACATACTTGTGTCTTTTCAGCTTGAGCTTTGCATATTTCCATTTCTTTCTCGCAACTTTTAACATGGGAGGTTAAAGAATGGTTACTATTGAATGAATGTACTGCAGAAGCTGTTATTTCACCAGTCTAATCAGAAAGTGTTTTCTTTAATAGCTTTGCTTCAGTGGAATTCATTGGGTTGCTGAAATTATCTCCTGAGCTTTGCAATGTNTGACTGTATACATTTTTGAGATGGAAATTTCATTAGTGGTAAGAGGTGTTCATTGGTGAATGGTGTTGAATTGACAGCTGAGGATGGAAGCAATAAGTTGTTGTTAGCAGCCAGAAAGGTTAGAAGGGCAACATGCACGGACTTTGTGATATCTTTGGTTGCCAATGATTTTTCTCGGGCCAGCAGTACATATGTTGGTAAACTGAGGCAAGTGTCTGCTCAATACAATTGTTACTAAAGTTGCTAGCCTTTTCTTCATTTTGCATTCAACAACTTACTGCCACCTTTTCTACAGGTCTAACTTTTTGGGTACCAAGTTCTCCATGTATGACAGCCAACCTCCATGTGGTATAGCAGTTCAGCCAACTAATCGTATGAGTCGCAGATTTCATTCTAAGCAGGTCTCTCCAAGAGTATCTGCATATAACTACAGAATAGGCACCATCTCCTATGAGCTCAATGTTCTGCGCACTAGAGGACCCAGGAGAATGAATTGCATCATGGATTCTATTCCTTTCTCTTCCATCGAGGAGGGGGGCACCGCCCCAACACCATCATCATTCCCACAGTCTCTTGAAGAGCACTTTTCTTCCTTCCCAGATTTGAAGGAAAAGGAACCAGTGATATGTAGCGAGGCCCCAGGTTTGTCAGTTTCACCAGGATTGACGATGGGCACTCCTGAGCCACTGGTTCTTAAAAATAAGGCTCCTAGATGGCATGAGCAGCTACAATGCTGGTGCCTAAATTTCAAAGGGCGTGTCACAGTGGCTTCTGTTAAGAATTTCCAGCTTGTGGCAGCTATTGACCCAACCCAGAATGTGCCAGCTGCGGAGCAGGAGAAGGTAATTCTGCAATTTGGAAAAATTGGAAAAGATATCTTCACCATGGATTACCACTACCCACTCTCTGCCTTCCAAGCATTTGCAATCTGCCTTAGCAGCTTCGACACGAAACCAGCTTGTGAATGACATTATTGCAGCGCTAGAAATGGATGCCATTGTCCCCGTAATTGCATCCTTAAATTTTCAGTTGATTTCCTACGCAAAAGCTGATCATGCATGGTCATTTACAACTCAGTTTCAGCAGTATGGACAATAATTTTCTGGTCATGCAATTCGACTTGTATTTTGTTCTTATCATCTTGTCGCAGCTGAAATTCAATTAAAAGAAGTTAAATGAATTATATTTTTATGATTTTGCAGTTTGTCCGTGTTATTGATCTAACGAAATTGTATAAGCTTCTAAGATACCATGCTTGTTTTTATCTATAAGGTGACATTACTTTTGCCCTTAGCACAAACCTAGCATTCTTAAGAGGATGGATTAATATGATGTGAATATTAGTTGGAACTTAAATTCTTGGATGGACCTTGATTTGCCTTTAACATCTGAAGTGTTATTGTCCTTCTCCAATTGTCCGATCTTAAATTTACCACCAAGTTATCTCTTCGTATTGTTAACCTCTTTGCTACTGCAGAAATCTTGAAAATATTTTTCGTTACCAATAATTCTGTTCAAAGCTTGAGCCCAACATACTTCTGTCTTTTCAGCTTGAGCTTTGCATATTTCCATTTCTTTCTCGCAACTTTTAACATGGGAGTTTAAAGAATGGTTACTATTGAATGAATGTACTGCAGAAGCTGTTATTTCACCAGTCTAATCAGAAAGTGTTTTCTTTAATAGCTTTGCTTCAGTGGAATTCATTGGGTTGCTGAAATTATCTCCTGAGCTTTGCAAGTGACCTTAAACTGAGATGTCATAAAAAGTTTTTTGCTGAGAAATGATGTTGGTTCTCTATTCGCGGAACAAATATTGCTAGGAAAGTAGCTTGGATTATTGGTTATTAGCATCTGGATTCCATTTCTTTAACAAAGTTTGGTTCTAATTAGATGTTCTGGCATGTGGAAAGAATAAAGGGATCGGAAATGGAAATGACAAAGGGATTAGGTGCAACATTTGCCTTTAATTTGGTATCTCACTTTACAAGTGGAATTGTTTTGCTATTAGGTCATAATCAATTAATTGAGGGCTGACAACTAAACCAAACAGCAAATCCACAGCTAATTCTCGAATATGAGCACTTTTGAGCCTCAAATCAACCGCTCTCACATATCTGAAAATCGAAATGCTCCATCTAATAGTCCAAAGGCCATTCTATAAATTCTCACATATTTAGGCTTTGAATGGAAATGATAATTGAATTTGTCATCAATCTGGCTGGCTAACAACCAATACAAATCACACAAGCACATAATTTCGTTGACTATAACGTTTGTCTGCAAGGTCTCTTTCCAGATAAAAGTTTACAGACTCACAGGGACACAAGAAATGATCAAACTGATATGGCCTATACTTCAAGTTGGTTTACATGAATTCCGAGCAAAAGAAGCAAAATGTAATCAATAAAGCACACAATTTCAACCCTTCTTGAACACCTTAATGCTGTAGATTCTACATGAATTGGAGAGCACTGCATGATTTTTATATAATATGATTAACTTCATGCTTCAAAGTCCCACATTTTCTTATCTCAGAGTAGAGTAAGTAATGAATTCCTTTGAAGTAAATTGAAATGGCTGATGTGGAATAGGGTTCCTGCACATAACATTAAATAGATTGAAATTAAGGTATTAATGATTGAAAACTAAAAGGGAAAAATAAAAATAAAGAAAACAAAGGAGGAGGAAGAAGACGCACGGACGAGGCCCATAAACTTTGATTTGGCGCACATGAGTATCCCTCCCATTAAGGTGGTTTGACAGCACAGCAATTTGCAACATAAAAGTATTGACAAAGGTTTCCCTGCATTGCAGGTGAAAATAGCTGAAAACTTAATCAATGTCGAAAGAAACTTACAAATCCAGAGAAGAATGTTGCTCAGTTGCAAGCTAATTAGTTTTCATATATCAACTAATCAACGAGCATTATAGTAAACTTACTTAAGGATTTCCATCGAAAACAAAAATCAAAAACAAAAAAAATCCCTTTATTTCCAAATAACTTTTGGCTCTGTGCTATTCACTTGATAGCATCCAGTATACTTAAGATAAAAACGATAAGGCATCACAAATTTCATTTTTTTCAGCAACTATAGCAAATCATACAACAGAAAGAATCTTAGTCAAAATTTGTTGAAATATAAGTGGTCAAATGTTTTCCTTCCAGATTTTAATATACAAAGGTTAAGATGGAGTTGGAACTAAATATTCATCGGTTTTCAAGTAAGACTCACTGTTGCTTAGACATACTTCCAATACTTGATGGTAGCTAATGCTATAAGGTATCAACTAATATTTGCCAGTTCAAATGGAAGTGGAAGTACCCAAAATAATGTTTTTAAACAATTACACTTTCATCTGATGCAAGAAGAAGAACAAGAAGAAAACCGAACTCTGATTCTTGAGATAGTCTGATGTGAATAATGGCTAAAAGGTTTAGAATTGTAAAGTTATCCACCAGTCGTTCTAGTATAAATTTCAGTTAGCTTGTGTGTCCCAGAGTCATTTTTCAAATTTGTGCACAATTACAATTATACAACAAAAAGTATGAATTAAATCTATTTCTCACTGTAAATCAGAAGAAACATAAAAAGATTGTTAATTAAATTGATTGCACATAACAACATTATAGTAAATAATGCATTCAAAACCTACCTAGGATCGTGTCCAGATAAGGATAGATAGACCCAGCCAGATGGCTTGTCAAGTTCCACAGTTTTTATCTCCTAAAACCATTTGCAAAATCAAACAATTGACCAGATACTTAACAGATAGCAAAAAAAGGCATTAAATTGCCACTAATGCAAACACATATATAGTTAGATTAATTAACAAAACATACTTAAAATCCAAAATTCATGGAAAATACCTTCAAGTTGTGGAAACCATCACCACCTCGAATAGAGATCTTACTAGGCGTATAACTCTCATCAAGCTTAAAATCCACATAAATCACAACCAACTTCCAAACACAACAAGTATCACAAGTCACAACTCATTATCAACAAAACAAACTTCAAAACCTAACAAGTCTCAGAGTTCATTTTCAAATATCAAAACACAAAACTTAACAACCAAGATTCAAATTAAGAAAGAGAGAGAGAGAGAGAGAGAGAGAGATAACAAATACCTACTTGCAACTTAACCTTCTTCTGGAACTGAATATTAACCAAATGTGGCTGGGGACCATCCGATCTAAAACCCAAAAGAGATCAAATAAGATAAACAAGAAATAGAATTTATGCAGAGAGAGTGACAGAACAGAAGTTATACTGCCAATAGGAGTTGAGATTATCGTCGCGTAGAAAAGAGACGCCATTGCCAGGCTTGCAAGAGCCGACACTCCAAACAGCTTTGCTGCCCATTTCTCTAAGGTCATCATCTACAATTAACTCTTTATTTCCTTCTCCTTCTGACTCTGCTGCCATTCTTCTTTCCAAAACACTCAATTCACTCAAGGACTATCACTCACCACTCACTGGATTTCAAATGACACGAAAAGGAGGGAACAGTATTTAAAGGAAAAGGAAAAGGAAAAGGAAAATGGAGAGATGTGGTAGAAATAGAGGGACGTACAGGTATCCCAAATTAAATATAGGCTGGTTTACATTTACCCACCCTAACTATTACAAAATAACAAATGCATGCCCCAAGTTCCGAAGACCATCAACATTTCACCCAGTTTTCAATTTCAAAACTTAAATTTAACGGTCAAGGGGTGTTTTGGTCTTTTATCCTAAAAAATCATTTTATCTAAATATATATATATATATATACACACACATACACAAGGCAAGATTTAGCCTAAGCCGTATGGCTTTCTCAGCACACGGTTAGGTTAGATCTTACCTTTAGCATGCAACTTCTCTCTCTACATTGTTGCCCCTTACCAACACTCCTATGTCCGATTTTATTGAATGTTGGGATTTTTTATTCTTGTACTTCTTTTGTTGTTTTTATCATGTATTCTAAGAGTATTTTGTGGATATCTTATTACCTTCCTTGGTGGAAGATTTTGGTAAAAACATTTCTATTGATACAAATACATGACTGAGTTTTTGCATAATTCTAGAGTTGATGAAGTTGTAATGAAGGTTTTATTCAATTACTGCAAAAGTGTGTTGTATTGAAATTTTGGAATAATTTTCGATTTTTTTTTTTTTTTTGTAAGGATCTATTGATAATTTTTTATTGATTTTCCCAGTGGTTTGTTGATAACTTTCGATTAGTTAAGATAATTACGGTTAACTTTGATATTAAAAATAATTAATTTTTTATTTTTTATTAATATATTTCCAAAATCAGTATACTTAAGAAATTTCCATGAATTAATAGTATTCCAATTTGAAGAAAATTTTAGTCAATTTATTGTTTAATAGGATTATATCGGTTATTTAACATATTTTTACAATATTTTATCTCAAAATACACATAAACTCAATTATAGGGGTAATTTCGTCTTTCCCGCAATATGTCAGGCACCAGATTTCACTGATAGACACTAACGACGGGTGGAATTTGATGGTTTTTGGAACTTGGGGTATGATTGTAGTTTTGCGATCGTTAGGATGCGTGCGTGTTAATCAACCTCAAATATAATAAAAATTTAATTACACTCATGAAGTCATCATCGAGGGTGAAACCGAGCCGCTGCGAACTCCTTGAACTCAACTCGAAGTTGACTTAAACTTAAGACGAGTTGGAATAGTTAATCGAGTTGAGTTCAATCATATCAGGACTTGACTAGTTATGTTCGTAAATATTTTCAAATTTGATAATTAAGTTGATAGTTTTTAAAGTAATAAGGATCATATGTAACTTAAAAGTTATAAAATAAATCCACCCTGTTAGATAAACACAAAATTGAGTTCAAACTCAATTAAAACTCAACTAAAAACTTAAAAAAAAACTCCAATTTCAAGTACCTGAGTTCAAACTTGATATCACGATCAAACTCGATACTGTAACAATCGAGTCGAGTTTAATTTACTAGATACTCATTCAATTTCACCCATGATCAATGATAAGTACTTTTTGATTAATCCTTAAAAAAAAATCTTTTAATTCATCGTATAAACTAAATTTCTTCAAGCAACGGCGATGACGACTATTACAGCAATGAGTTGTTTTGTTGTGTATGGCCTGAAGATGCTGTAAAACCATGAATCGTGGACTTGCCTCATCTTCTTTTCTTTTGAAACAACTCATCTTAACAGCAACTTCAGGCCATACACGGTTCAGTGGACTTGCATCATCTTCTTTTCTCTTCTGTTACAGAATCCGCAACAGGCCTTGGAAATGGAAACTTGAACAAAGAAAAAGATGTTTCGTTACTAGTTAAAGTGAATTAAGGATTGTACGGAAACTAAAGAGAATCTCAGTTCAGTTCCATCTCCATATTCAAAATGGTTGTCTTGGTCATTTACTTTCTTCTGACGAAACCAAAAACCATTATAACTAGTGGACATTGCAAACCATATCAAAAAACTGTCATTTTCATGAATTTTTATGCTTTGGTCACAAACTAAACCAGTAGTTAATATTAAATATCACGCCAATGCTAGTAATACATCTAAAAACACTGGATATAGTAGATTTTCTTAGAACCTACTGGGCGAAAAACTACTAATCCAGTTTTAAAAAACTTCACTTTCAACTGGCGATGGCGCTCAAAAGCCAAATGCTTTTCCCCCATATATATCTACATACATACATGTAACAAGGACTAGGGAAAATAACACGCACTAGTTGAAGCAAATTTGGACCGATATGATTCATTCCCCGGACGTCTCTCAAACGTTGGAGATCAAGCAGCAACTGATCATCCTCAACGGAGACACTGATTGACAAGCTTTTGTAATTCATCATCCCATGGTGGAAGAGTTTGAACTTGCTGCAATTAATTTTGATTCCAGAATAAGTTGACTGTACTAAGCCATAAAGAATAATGTGACAAATAGTTAAATATCAGATCAATTAACATACTTCATGAAGATCAGGTACAGGTTCAGGCAATGGCATTTGATCAGGCAGAGGGGGCAAACGCATTGAAGTTCCCTGGGTAAACTGACTGAAAAATCCCTGTCTTTCAGGTTGACCGCTCCTCGATATTTGGTGTGGTGGAGCCGGAAATATGAAGGGATACTTACTTTTGCATTTTGGATAAACTGGTTTAAAGGCTTGAATTTTACCGTATTGCTTCATTTGCATAAGTATTTAAGATCCAAGTCAGTTACACAGGAATCCTGAACCATAAATTCAACCAGGAAAAATTTGAAAAGATTCTGGGAGACTATATTCTTACCGCTTTTAAGCGTAATTCTTCACTATCCATGAATGTTTGTGGATCCACTCGCTGCTTCAAAAACTGCAATAAATTTAAAATCAGCCATATAAGTTTTTAATAGAATAGATATTTTTGGTTGAACAAGACTACATGACCATTCAAAAGATAAACATATTACCTCGCGTTTCCTTTGAAGACTTCTAACGTACTTCGCTGCGTCTTCAAGTACAGAAACTGTATCTAAACCTTTGGAAGAATTATCAGGGATCAAATTTTTCAACCATCTCAATTTATCGCTAAAACTTGGATTCGTTTCCTGTAAATAATAGATAAGACATAGAAAAGATGATAGTGAGGAGTACAGTTTTGGCGGACATTCTAAATAATTCTTCTTAAATTTGGAAATTTTACTTCTGGTGTAACGTTATCCTCAGTGGCCTGGCCACTTGCCGAAGAATTCAACCTTCTTCTTTTAACTTTGGCCGGTTGCTGAGCTTCCGACAGCGCCTGAAACACCGATAATATAAAATAGAAATTAGCGAGTAATGAAAAGAAAAGGTTAGAGCAAAGAAGCACACCTCTTCATTCGTGAATGTGGCTGTATCATTGCCTGGAATAGGCTCCATGTTATCAAGTATAACCAGCTCATCATCACTATCATTAAACATAGCTGCACCGTCTACATTGTTGGGAGCATCTTTTAAGGACATTTGAGAGGCCCTCGTCAGGTATTCATCGATCTCTGTTCCGACGAATGAAATATCGCTAACATTTGTTGACTGAAGAGCACCCAAATAAGTTTGGGGCATTAAATTCGGAAAATTAGGTATGTCTACTGAACTGCTGTCGGTCATACTCGTACCATACAAGTTAAACCCAGGAAAGGAACTTAACTCATTAAGCCTGGAAGGGAAGTTTTGTGTGGGGTTGGCAAAGCGTAACAAGTCGGATATAAAACTGTTTCTCATCTTACTGTTGAAAACAAAACACAAGAACAGAAATTCAGTAAGACATGACGTTTTAGTTCGTGCAAAAGGCACACTCACTCACGTCCATCAAAAAATAGTAAAAGATTGGGAAAACAAGCAGTTAAAAAGAAAGGAACGCTTAAGCTAAAAAAGAAGAGAGAGGATTGAGAGAAAGGAGAGAACTTACAAAGTTTGAGGCTGAGTTGAGTGGTTGCGTTAAAAATGCATGCGTATATATAAAGAGGGAGGATGATGATGATGATGATGATGATGATGTGAACGAAGAGAAAGAAAATGGAGCCGCGGAGGTTCATTAAGGAATGTAAGCCATTAACTAAAGCTGTGACTCTGTGAGCAATAAATGGACCCACACTTGCATTCATCAGTGAAATGACAACTCTACACCAAATTGTCTTTAAACCGGATTCGATTTCGTTGGGTTCTGGGCCTTCTAGCCTTGATCGATAGCTATAGGGGGTTTGGGCTTCTTTTTTCTCCCCTAATAAACGACAAAATAATTAATAAAAAAATAAAATTATTAATGAGTGATTTTGACATCTAAGAAATACTTAACTACTCAAATGACACATGTATATGAGATATTAAATCGAATAAAAGCTAAATAACGATATTTAAAGTGGTTCAAATATTAAGAAAGCGAATTTTATGTCCATTAAGATCGTATTAATATATTTGAGGTCAGGTCGCGTTTAGTAAATTGATTTACAAGAGATTACAAGAGAGAGAATATATGCTATTCCAGAGAGAAATTGATTAATTTCATAAACAGGAGAGGAACCTTCTATTTATAGTAGGATAAATTAAGGTAATAATTACTAAATCATAGAGTGGGTCAGATTGCCATACAAATCCTTCTTTACGTTTCGTTATTCACTTGCTCGAATGATTTATCCGACTCTTGTAGGGATTGGACACGTGGATTGTCTCCAACCTTTTACCAGTCTGACACACATCTACTGTACTAGCAAGAACATACTGCTTATATCAACATACGACGTAACTACATCTGAATGATTGCTAGACTTATCACTTACAAGGATAGAACTCTACGTTAACCCTACTTCTGTAGGCATAACAAAAATTAAAACGGGGTTTGATTTCGTTGGTTTATGGGCTTATTAGCTTTCATAGCTAGGAGGCTTGGGCTTCCAAGCAATAATAAGTAAAAGAGCATCAGCATGGGAATGGTGATTTTAAGGTGTATGCGTATCAACACCACAGAAATGACAACTGTAATTTTATATAGAAAGAAGCCCAAAAAGGGGCGCTAGAGGAAGGGCTTGAACCTTCGACCTTGTGGTTAACAGCCACACGCTCTAACCAACTGAGCTACTCCAGCTGCTATAAACGCGTTCATGTTATATAAAAAAATCGATTTTAATTACACAATTGAATACAATGCCACTGAAAGGAGTAAGTTTGGTCTTCAATTCTGATGTGATCGATACCTAATACGTAAACTAAAGCCGTTTTCTAAGGTAAAGAAGTATGGTTTTCTTAAATAAATTAGTAGGACATTAAAAAAATGTTTAGTAGGGAACAAATCCCACCAAACCCCGATTCAGAACCTGTAACTCCATAAATTCAGGATGGTAATAAAGAAAGTTTAGAAGGTGAAAGAAGCAATGTAGAATGGTAGGGGCAGAGGGGGGCCGTCCGAGTCTCCGAGCTGCAGAGTTTGATCAGAAAGGACCATGCCTCTTACTTCATGCGGTACGGCTTATAGTGACTAATCAGATCACACCACTCCTCCCCATCACTGTTAGCTTGGCTTTGCTTGTTAAAGTGGTTGATTTGATGTGACCCTTTCTTTTCGAAGTCAATGTGATTAATGTAAACTCTAGTACCTATAATCAAGAGACAAGACGCCCTTTACTGTTCAACATATTCACTATACCTATGTATACTGTTTTATGCAAATCTGGAAAATTGCTCGGCCGGGAATAATATGATGATGAAGATGGATAATAGAGAGAGCAAAGAACAAATTCCAAACCCTAAACCCAATTCAATCTCGTGTCTCCTTTGCCTTTGAATGGTTGACTCATCATCATTAGCATGCTCCATGCCCCGTGATCATTCTTCATGGTATGGTACATATGTTGTCATGTATGCATGTATATCTTCGAGTTCCAAAGTTTATGATGACAAAAGTTCCTCTCAGTTCTGCTATCATTGCTCTATATGAATCCCTGATGCTATATATGTTGTAACAATGAATATGACTGTCTGCAGCGGCCGCATCATACAATAATGGTCACGAGAATTTAAATATAGCTGAAAAAGGGTTCATAAATCAGGATGCATTGGTCAAAGTATTGCATGCTAATGCACCATTTTCAGCTTCAACGCCAGTTGAGCTGATTTTGGCCCTTTCCAGTGATGCTGCTACTTCTGCAACATTTTTACATCCAAATCCCAACTTAGATCTAATTATAATTTATAACACTTTTCCCCGTCTTGCATTAATTAAAAAGAAAGATGTGACAAAACAGGTTCAGTGGCATCATGGAGGAATCCCGAGATATATGAATAAGATTTAAAATTAATGATGCTAAGATTAGCAATAATCAAGGGGAGAAAAGCAGAAAGAAATGAGGGGGAGTCGAAATATATGCGGAGGGTGACCAATTGCTAAAAAAGCTCCATCATGACTAGACAATCTACGGCTACAAGCCTACAATGATGAGATCTTTCTGCACGGAGAGTGAGGAGAAGTGCAGATAAGGAAGATAATCCAAGTATTGGAACTCTAACAACTATGATGGCAGCTCGTGAATACAGACAATTTGTCAAGTCTCATCAAACCTTTTTCAGCCATTTTATGTATGCAGTCTACTTTTTTAACTTTAAGATATGATTTGCCATCTCATTACTCACCGTGAGAGTAAATCGAGGCCAATAATTTCCAATCTAATGTAAAATACAAACTGAACCTGAAATCCGAACTAATACTTCAGTCTCAGAAAGACAAGAAACCTGCAACTAGTTCGCTTCAAATTTCCTCTGTCTGCACAAAAATGAAACTAAAAATTGGACTCATCAAGACAAACAAACACACCATGTAGAACTGTACATTAAATTGGATCCAGTAAACGGCTGGATAGTGACAGCATATACATCATGGAAAACACTAAAAGCTTAAAAAAAAAAAAAAAAAAAAACTACATGTTGAGATTATAATTACAAGCAAAGTAAACAATTCATCATCTAAAACTAAATTGGCTATAATATGATGTGCCATACAAGCCCTCCAGCCTTGGTCAAAGAAGATCCTAAATCACATGCTATGTTATGTCTTGTATAATTGTATATGTATTTTGAGTCTACCACAAAATCAAAAATGGAAAAAGAGCTAAACTCCAAGTTTCGTTTCTTCTTTCTTGGTGCGACCGAACTGAGGTTTTGAGAACACTGAAAGTTTCCTTGCAAAAAATCCAGATGACTTTGAAGATGATTTCTTTTCTTTAGTGTAGTTGCTAGAATCTCTAGAATTGTCATGATCCAATTCAATACATTCTTGCTCATCGCATTGTTGGACGTCTCTTAAGAGACGAAGCAATTCCAACGCCATCACCTTTCCTTTGTCGTTCCCATTAACTGATATACTGACAAGGGAAGGTATAACACCTTCATTCATAACCAACTGACAATAATGAACGCGTTGTGAACATAAGGAAAGGAGAATGGTCACCCCGTGTTCCTGTTCCTCCTGGCTTCCCATTTCAAGTAGTTCAGCCACAGAAGCCAGACATCCACTGGTTTCAGCAATAGAAACTCTAGCCCCTTCAATATCACACAAGTTTTTCAACACTATTATACAGTGTCCTGCAAGGGTTGTATCCTTTAAAAAGGGAACCAATTTTGGGATGCACTCTGAAGGTGCAATCTGAGAACAAGTTTCATTGTCCGACGACAAATTATGCAGAATTTTTATAGCATGCACCTTGAGTTCTCTGTTCTCAGAGTCGAGGATCTTTACGATGGAGGCAAGAGCTCCAGATGATACAATTTTAGATCTACAATATCGATACCTAGATAACTCTTCAATGATGGCAAAAGCCTCTTCACTCACTTCCGAATCAAGAAAAAATGCCAACAGAACAAACGCATTTTCATCCAAGCATGCTATTCCACTTCTGCACGAAGCAGCATAATTAATCAAATCAATAAGCTACTCATAGAAATGTTATAAAAATAGAAGTAGACATGATAAGGATGATCAATCCGAGAAGTTAAAATTACCGCTATATGCTCAATTCAAAAGTTACATAATTGTGAGATTGAAATAAGAATCTAGCATATAGGCATATAAGCGAAGGACGCAACCAAAGATTAATGTCATAAACAATACTTCAATCAAAAAGAAAACTTTTCAAAAATTTCCCTTCAAGTTACTCTAAACCAAATAACTCTCAAGTCAGAATGAATAATTTATAAGACATAAAACAATAAAGATTACCATGAATCAAAAGATTAATCGCAAATGAAGAAATACAAGAGATGAAAAGTTACATAACGGTGTGGTTGAAATAAGAGTCAGACAGATTGACATAGGCACATGGGCAACAGATAACAAAAGAATAATGTCTTAAAAAAACACTTGAATCAACAAGAAATATTTTTGCAAAGTTTTATCTCTTAATTAACTCTAAACAAATAACTTAAGTCAGAATGAATGAATTTATAAGACAAAACAACAAAGATTACCCTATATTACAAGATTAGTCACATACGAAGAAATACCAGAGAACAAATTACCTGTTTTTGCTCACAAATGCCAATAACAATTGAGATCCAACTCTCTGGGATCTAATGTCATTTTTGTCTCGTGCATCCCTTAGAAATCTCATGAGAGGATCAACAAAATTCATTGATGACAGAGAAAAACAAGCTTCACTATTGTGCTTCAAAAGGCTTTTAACATTTTCAACCACCTTATATTGATCTTCCCACTTAAGTTCACCAAGCCTAGATAAATCTGCCTCATTTACGTTTGAGGAAGCTTGAAATCCATGAAAATCATAATTGGTCTCCATCGATGTCAAACTTAACCCATCTGTAATCTTATTGTGTGCGGTATCTGAGCTGTAACTAGTATCTAAAGATCCAATTGATACATTGCTAACATCCAATGGAAGCCGGAGATCATTCATAGAACTGCCAAAGCTAACAATGGACATAGAAGTATCCCATGAGTGCAGACTTTCTGTTCGAATGCTTGGATCAGGAATGGCAATTCCATACTTAGTACACCACTTTGATATTAGATCCTTCATGACTGTGTTTGGAGTCAATGATCGACGGACCAGTTTCATTTCAGTTTTTGGACATGTATCATTACCCTCATCCAACCACTTTTGTATCCACATCCTCTCAAAGGTTTGCCCAGACTCAATGATAACGGGATCATACATTAATTTTGAAGATAAGGGGCATTTAAACTCCTCCGGGGGTATAGCTGTACTTAAGATGTCAGTTTGAGCTTCATACTTCTCACGTCGTTTACGATATTCCACTTCAACAGGCTGACTGCAAACGGAAAATGATCCCTTATCCTGCGCACAGGCATTGTCTGTGTGCTCTTCCATAATTAAATTTCCATGCTTCTTCAATAAATGCAAAAGATACTTTAAGATCTTTTTCTTGGGTAGCTCATTGTCACCAACTTTATCCAGCAACTTCCTTATAGATCTTTTCTCTATTAAGATGGTCTTTGGGGTAGTAATATGAAGTCTTTGAGCAGCAAGTTGTAAAGCTTTGGTTTCTGAGAACTCCAGTGAATCTGATGCAGAAGCCCCCGGCTGGAGCAATTCTCGCACAGCCTTCCCAGCCTCTTCTTCAGATGAGTCCAGGACAAAAGTTGCAACCTTAAGATCATCAATAATTCGAGAGATCTGCAAATGAAATTTTGGTATCAATTATATGTAAGAACTAATGTGCAAGAAGAGTAAGAAAAGAACATCTAAAAGAAAATTTCAAAAGAACAGTTAGGTGGCCTAAGATAAAGAGTGGACAAATACGCAGAATTTGACTGTTTTACCCAAATCTTATGATTAACAACTAACTTAAAGAAGGCAAATTGAAAAATGTAATCATCAATTACTGGACTAAAGCCGGTAAGCAGGGCAAACAGGTCATGATTTCCAGTTTTTTATAAGGGAATCACCATTCAGAGAAATTGCCACATTATTGTATTGCCAAAGTAAGACCCATATTTTCCTACCAAAAATTAATAAGACCTGTATTTCAGGGAATTAACTTCCTCTCAAATACGGTTGTTCTACCAACTTCCTAAGAGTTGCTCAAAATGGTTAAAAGCAAAACAAATAAAAACAAGCTGTGCATAAAAACAAGCTGTGCCTAATAAGTTTGTTTCAAGGTTTGGTTTCATGGTCAAGAATCTTAAAAGTATAAATGAGACATTGCTCCAAATTAACATATAATAGCTAGGAATTATATATTTTCTTTTATATATTATGAATTTCCAAAAGGACCATTGTCCTCTGGATCAGTAAAAGACACTGGTTGTAACAAACAAGTGATAAAAACATTTTGGGTCTTAGAGAGCAGCCATTTATGCAGAAATGGTATGGTTAGGACCATTTCCTTTCAAGCCTTCCAGGAAACTGCTCCAGTAAAGCAACAATAGGTGATGGCCATCAATAAACTTATGTCCGTCATCCACTACCCATCTTTGTGGGCAAAACAGAAAGAGAGGTCCAAAGCATAAACAGTTGAACAAACCTCAACAGCCAACATTACTGGAACCATGTTTTGGATTTGGCTCAAACTTTGTTCCAACAAGTTCCTCGACCTCTGGCATCTCGAGGCTATAACATCCCCAGTTAGTGCCTGAAAGTAAATAAAAACATCTATCAACCTAAATTGAGAAGTAACCTGACAAGCAAAAGCCAACCAATATGTTGGATATTGAACAAAGAAAAACATGAGTTATTGAGTTACATTAGTTTCTGCACAACAATAATATTTCATGAGGAGCAATCTCAATATCGACATAAAGTTCTCATAACATATTGCACTGCAGGTAGTATTCTATCTTAAAACATAAAACAGATTCGATTTTTCTAGCAGATAACTGTGTCCAAGACTAGAACCAAACTATAGAAACCAACGTGAAAAAACTCCTAATTCTTGAACAACCATTGGTTGTGTTTCACTGGTTTAGAAAATAGTCCCGCTATTACTTTAATATTTGCTAAGATGATTTTAATCATATGGATGTCTTTTCACAGAGACTGTTCTTATTCTATAAACATTCTTTGCCCGAATTATAAGCAAGATGCATACCAGATAGAGTTTACTAGACTCGCTGCAATACTGAAGAATTAACTTGGCTTTTTCAATTGCATTATTCAACAAGCATAGTGCTTGAATTCCAGATGAGCATCGAGGCCGAGCTGCTTCTATTTGTGGAAATATATTCGCAGTTCTCTCTACCAATTTCATAAGTTCTGTGCACATGACACGATGCACCTGCAATAGTGAACTAAAATCCATGAGAATTTCCAGTCCAAACATGATGCACTGATTAAGCTCACTGTTAAACAATTGCAGAGAAAGAATTAAACCTCTTGTCGCAAAAGGAAACAAAATAAATAAATAAATAAATAAAATCATGCAGACAGAATTAAAGCCAAACATTGCAATTGGAGCACAAAACAAAGACTTCACAGGGAAATTTATACCTTGAAGGAATAAGGATATGGCAGAGTCTCAACTACCTCAGCAACATCGGTCCCCATTCAAAAGGTATATATCCTGAATCCATATATGCAATTAACATTAAAAGGGATAAAAACATAAAAACGATGAAAATCATCATATAAAACACGTCCATATCGTCTGCCATATTGAAAATTAAGAGGAGACAAATAACTATGAATATCTAAGGTAACCATATACACATTAACGACTACTTAAGCAATAGCATACCAGTCAAATAAACACTTCAAAACAACGAGATCGATCGAGTATTAAACACATATTCAGGGGTTAAAAAAAATAGAAAAATTTAGCATCAGACAAATATATCCACCAATCCTCAGTCATCATGAAGTTTCAGTATACTTAAACAGTTTTCAATCACTACAAAGAAAAAGCAAAATACCTTATGAAACCAGAACAATGATAAGAAGCTCCCCCTAAAAATCCCAATTCTAAAACCAGTGAATTAACTCAGTTTTCAGAAGATATTTCTTTTGAACTACAAATATCTTCAAAAGATATATACAGTTCCAATGAGAACTCAAGTCACAGAACAATGATTCAAGAATAGCCGTTCACATGAACAACTCCCAGAATTCAGGTTCATAATCTTCTTATAAATATAAACCTGGTAAAGGGTTGTGGATGAATGAGAAAACAAGCGAGAACCCAGAAAGAAAAATACACAAGAAGAAAAAACTAGAAATTTGATGTGAAGAAAGAAAGCATCTATGTGATGATAAAGTAGACAGATGAAAATGATTCTCTCAGGATAATGAAGTCTTTGCACTAAATATTAAAAAAAAAAAAAATAGATAAAAATGGTAAAAGAAACTAAAAGTGATTGGTGGGATTTGAAAACGGAGAGAGACTCGTCAACTAGCATAACTATTTTGGCAACAGAAAATCATTTACTTTTCCGGGTTATCTATGACCTCAAGAAAGAGTAAAGGTCTCAATGTTCCTAAAATAACGTACAGACACTCATTATAACTTCCTTATAGTAATGTGATCATTGTCAACCGTTGAATATTAGTGCAAGTGATAGAGGCCGTTGGATATATATATTACTTGACATTTCCGTGCCACGACAGAAAGTGCAGTCTTTATTGAACCTATCTTCAAGTCAAAAAGAAAGACACACACTTAGACCAACCAATCATAAATGTTTAACCCGTAATTACTTTGAGAAATATTGTCTTTTTCTTTCCCTCCCCTTTCTTTCTTTCTTTTTTAATACTCAAAACATTCAATGGTGACAATACGTGTTTTATGTAGGGGTAGTTGACGCAGTAATGAGAAATGATTTGCATATGATACAGGCAGAACGACTTACACATACCTAAGGTTTATCGAAATGATAAGTTGATACTCAAAAGGTTTTAAAACGACAAATAGATATCTTCTGTCATGTTCTGTTAGTGATTTTCGTTTAATAATCGTGAAAAGACTAAAATGCCCTTGAAAGTTTGATATTTTAACTTTTTATAAATTTAAAAATTTCTAAAAAACCTTCTAGGTTTGCTAATTTGACTAAATACCCAACTATATAAAAATTTTATAAAATAATAAAAATACCCCCGCCACTCGCAGTGCCAGATTTCGGCCACCACCGCTGGAATCTTGCCGAAAAATTGCGTTACGACATAGACCAGTCAGATTTGTATTGTAACGCGTAGATCTGGCATTTTCTGGCAAGATCTGTGGCTGATTTGATCGAAAAAGGCCAGATCTACAGCCAGATCTGGCCGTCGAGGCCGAAAAAGGTCATATCGACGTGTTACGACACAAATCCGACGGGTTTATGTCATAACACAATTTTTCGGCCAGATTCTGATGGTGGTGGCCGGAATCTGGCACTGCGGGTGACGAGAGTGTTTTTGTTATTTTATAAAAATTTTATATATTGGGGTATTTAGTCAAATTAGCAAATCTAAGGGATTTTTTAGAAATTTTTAAATTTATAAAAAACTAAAATATTAAACTTTCAAGGGTATTTTAGTCTTTTCACTATTAGCAAACGAAAATTACTAATAGAACATGACGAAAGATACATATTTATTATTTTAAAATCTTTTAAATACGATCTTGTCGTTTCGACAAACCTTGGATATGCGTAAAACGTTTGGCCTATGTTATAACCAAAAATTTGAACGGAATACGAGGTGAGTTGAGCGCTACACCGAAACACAATTTCATTAATTAAGGAGAAGGGTGTGCTGCCACTCTCCCATCATCCTAAATTCATTATAGTTTTATAATTTTTCTATGTTTGGACTTTGGACAAGAAATGTTGAAGTCGTCCATTACTTCAATATTAATGAACCGCGTAGATGCGTTCGGGGTCCCGCTGTCCTTGACTATGAGTGTGGTATAGGTTGGAGATTAAAGTTTTATCCATCAATAAGGAAACAGGAAATATAAAATGTGTTGAGAGGGGGAGGGGAATGAAATGATGACCATAAGAGGTGTGTTTGACCATTTGACTGCAGCCTTCGGTTTGGTAGTTGATGAAGAATATAAACATTATGGGTATGGTTATGCTTTTTAGAGATTCTAACCAATATAAGCATGCGTGTAATTAGATCAATTACATTTAAATAAACAAATGATTAAATGATTCATCACTTTGTTATCCAATTAGATTTGATTCTTATTCTATTTTGATTGATTCTCAAAACGATAATTTCCAACGCACTTATTCTGAATTATTTAATAATATTAAGATAGTAACAGTTGCAGTTCAGTGTATGTGAAAATCAGTAACAGATCCAGAAATTTCTTTTAAGGTAGACCAAAATAAAAATTTATTATACATTATTATTTTTATCCATTAATATTTTTTTTAGGGTGGACCAAAATATATAAATTTACATATTAATATTAAAAAAAAAATTGAGGGTGGGCCAAAAAGTGACTGGATCCGCCACTGTGTGAAATTACATACAAATAATACTACATTAACAACCCTTTCTCACAAACTTTCTCTCACAATCCTGATATAACAGTTTGTAATTAGTCAGTTCATAATAAATCCTATATAGGTCTCACTAATTAATTATAAATTGATCAATTACGAGCTATCACATCAAAGTTATGAAAAAAATTATTAATATAATATTACTCATTACATATATACATAAGTCTAATTCTATAAGACCAATTGACCAAGGATAATACTATACCAATAATTATCTTTTACAAATTTTCTCTTGTCATGATAATTCACAATTAGACAGTGTTTACAACCAGCATGTCCCTGGTAATTAATTGCAAGTTGACGTATTAATGATTTCTGACTGCAGTGTCGAGCCCAATGGAGCCTCTTGAAAGTGAAACAATTTGACAGCCAACCAAACACAAAATGCATGCACTTTTTGTAGTGAATAAGACCGGCTCCACCAATACCCACGTTTCAGTGGGAGACTACAGGGTAGCCTAAATGATCAAAAACTGACCTTTCAGTCAGTCTAAGGTAAATGGGATATGATTTCAAACAGCACCACATATATATTCCAAATCGTCTTATTAGTATGTATTCCAATTCAAACCATGAGCTAATTTTTCTGTCTTTTTATATCAGTTGGTTTAAACCAATTTATCCGTACCTCAATTAATTTTTTGAGATTATAAAATTACTAATCATATAAAAATCCCAATAACCATCTATATTAATATAAGGAGAAAATCAAATTCAATTTCTTATGAAACTCGTTTTGCTCTTTTAGCTTTAGACACCCAATGGTGGTTTGTTTGAGAATAATGTTGGCATCCCTTTTTCAGCATGAGTGCCCAAAAGTGTTTTCTTGTTGGGTTTGTGTACATACTCATTCTTCATAATCATATACATTATATTTCTTTTTTGTTTGATAACATCTTTCTATATTATCAAAATATCATCACTTATACGTTACGACATAATCATCTTTTAAAAAGAAATTATTAAATAAAGCATGATTGTGATGATATAGAAAACCCAATTGACAAATAGACTGCTGATTTATGGTTGAAATTGCGTGGAAGGTGAGCTATAATTGACCCAAAAGTTACAGATTCCAACTAATGGTGGCCACATTCTAGGCAAGTAGCTTGCTCTTTCTTGAGGTCCGTTAAAAATGTAAAGACAACTATCTGTCAATTAGTTGCCTGGTTCATGTGACAGACGTGAGAGGTGGTGGATCATGGGTATTCCACAGGCTGTTGACTTGATGAGACTTAGGTATCCAGTATTCGAAAGAAGAGAGCAGAGAGCAATTTGACACTTTTTGACCAAATAAAATTTAAACAAACGATTAGGCCCATTCCCGTTGCTATCTAACATTCAAAGCTGCTCTTCGGCCCATTTTTTTTTTTTAATTTAAATAAAGTTTGATCAAGTGATTTTATAAAAAATTAAATTAGCTGACAATAAACACTTATTTAACTTTATATAAGGGTAAAAACGTAATTGAATAAATTTAAATTATTCTTTTTACAAATTAAAAACTAACAAAATTAAGTGTTTGTTTATTATCATCAAAATAAGACCATGATGACTCCTTGAACCAACATATGACCTTTACATGATGAGTGCAGTATAATCCTTGGGCCTTAGGTGTTGGTGGATGGGAGAAGTGATAATTTAAGAATTACAGATAAAAACCTCTGCATGTTAAGAGATTGGTTATTAGATTTTGAGTAGAGAGGATTTAGGGAAAAATGGATTTCATTAGATTGCCAAAAGTTACAATCGATTACTGTACAATAGCCTTTTATACAAACTCAACTGCATTAACTAATCAAGTAACAGTCCTAACTAACTTCAGTTAACTATAGTTAAACTAATCTTTAAACTAACTTTAGTTAACTAAAACAGTTAACTGTGTTTGACTATTCAATGCTGAGCTAGAAACTGCTGAAGCCTGGAAGCTACTGAAGGATGCTTGAGTTGGAGTGCTTGCTGGAGTGAAGTTGCTGAAGCTTCAGTACCCCCCCTCAAGTTGGTGAGTGATAAAGGTTAAACACTCCCAACTTGGACAGAAAATGATGATGTAGCTGACTACCAAGGGCTTTGGTGAGAATGTCTACTCTTTGCTGGGAACATACTTGGTAGTAATGATGCCAGCTTGAATCTTCTCTCACACAAGATGACAGTCAATGTCAATGTGTTTGGTGCACTCATGGAACATGGGATTGGAGGCAATATGCAATGCAGATTGATTGTCACATAGAAGAAGAAGAAGAAGGATAACCCAATTCTGAAAGTAACTGCACTATCCACACAATTTTACAAACTATAGAGGCCATTGCCTTGTATTCAGCCTCTGAACAAGACCTTGAAATAGTGACATGTTTCTTAGATTTCTAGGATAAGAGAAAACATCCGAAAAAAACACAAAAGCCAATAACATATCTTCTGGTAAGCAAGCGAGAGGCCCAACTTAAATCATAATAGGCAGTGAGATTCAAAAAACCATCAGATGGAAAAAAACAAACCTAAACTAGGAGCAGATTTTATATACTTTATAATCTTCAAAGCTGCCTACATATGAAATTGTTTAGGAGCATGCATAAACTGACTTAGTAAGTTGACAAAATAGCTCAAATCTGGTCCAGTTATGCATAGGTAAATAAGTTTTCCTATAAGTTTCTGGTAAATAAAAGCATCTGCCAATAAAGGGTCCCCAATAAGGCCAAATTGTTTATCATAATCGGAGGAAGTGAACTTCATATGTTGGTCAAGAGGTATAATGGAAGGTCTAGCACCTGATAACCCTGTTGTAGAAATCAATTCCAAGGCATATTTGCGCTGGGAAAGAGTGATACTTTTGTTGGACCTTGCAATTTCCAGACCAAGAAAGTGCCTGAGTAAACCCAAGTCTTTGAGCTTGAAATTTGCTTGAAGTAATTTTTTGGCAGTATCAATGAGGGTTGAACTACTCCCAGTGATGACTA